CAGAGCTCAGTGTCTCTCAACAAAGGCAATCACCTGACCTTTCCACCTACCGGATAGGTTCACTTCCTTATTTTCCCAGAGAGCTACCAGGTATCCCTTGCATCTACTCAACCCATCTTTACACCACTAGGAATGAGACAGGATAGAAAGAAGAAAAGTTTATGGGAACATGGGAAGGGAATGAAGCCCCTTGCTCTGAGGTCTAGTTTGTGTTTCCTGCATGCTGACAGTTAAAAATCTCACACCAACCCATAAAACCCAAACTGTCCAGGAGCAAAGCTTCCTTCCCTAAGGTAAGACCAAGCATTCACTCAAGGCCAGAAAGTCTGGAGTCTTGTCTGTACCTGTATCATGGTTCCTCTTCATCCCCAGCACATTCCATGGAACCACTGTACAATTTCATTTCAAAGGCTATGCTTTAGGAAAACTAAATAAACCAGGCCATACTTTTCATTTAAATTTTAAGCCAGATTCTTTGAATCTTGCTATAAATTACAGCCTTTAAAGAGTATAACCTTGAAAGTTATAGGATCATATATAGAGCTACTGTAAAGACACCAAGTATAACTTTGAAGAAAACAGCAACTTTGTCTTGGAGTACACAGTACCCTTTTCTTAACACACACTCTCTCTTTCAACACCCATTCTCAAGTCTAGAGTGCGCACACCACATATCTGTACTTCAATAACCTTTGCTCTACTCTGACTTGGTGTAGAACTCTTCTCTGTGGCCTAGCCATGGACATGGCTTTATCTAAGTGAGAGGTCCCTGACAGAATACTGGCCACAGAGTTATGCTGCCTCCCACCACTGACAAGACTGAACCCTTTGCAAATTCACTGCAGTAAAAGGACATTACCGTCCCTCTGTGCCCCAGTTCTCACTACTAAGAATGCAGACACTCATGAAGGACTTAGGCTAGTACACTAACACCTTCCAATCCCACAAAGCAACATTGCCACCCAATAACAAGCAGCCTGTTTTTAACATTATAACTGAAACAGGAATAACTTGGTATGGAAGGAGGTGGAAGATTTTATTTATAGCAATGTTTATTTTAGTGTGTGTCATATGTATGTGTTCTTGTGTGTGTCCATTTGTGTACCTGCTTGTAGAAGACAGAGACTGACATGCAGTCTCTTCCCTGATAGTTCTCTACTGAACTTTGAGTTCCAAATTCAGGTCCTCAGGCTTGCACAGCAATCGCTTTACTGACTAAGCCATCAGCCAGTCCTAGATTCTGCTAGATTGTCTGGCTAGTCCTCTTGTGTCTGCGTCTCCAGTGCTGGGATTATAGGTGCACACAGCCATGACTAGAGTTTTACACTGGTGCTGGGGGTCCAAACTCCAGTCTTTGTCCTTGCATAGCAAGTATCTTACCAAGTGAGCTATCTTCTCAGCCCAAGACTTCCATTTTTTTTGGGGGGGGAATGGCTATACGAAGTATGTGTTCTACCACTGAGATAAACTCCTAGAACCAAATGTAATAGTTAAAAAATATTTTGCAGTGTGGTCATAAAAGACCAATATCAAATTATTTCCAGATATATCCTGACACATGCCTGGTTCTAACCAGTGTAAGCTACATTACTAACGCTATACTCCATGCAGTTGGAATGAGAAAACTGCAATACTTACAATGCAGGTAACAGAAGGTTTCACTGTACAGTCAAAAGTGACAGGCTTCCCATAAGTACAGGAGAAATTGGTCGCACACTCTACACAGTCTGCAGGAAGGCGGCTACACAAACCATTGCTTGGACACTTCATCATGTAAGGGGGGATTTCAGTACTTTCTGTGAGGTGGGAGAGCAGCTTATTCTCTATGGATAGTGATCAGAAGAACAGTGAAAGACAGTGGAGAGACATCATTAGCCATGAATGACAATTCTCTAAGGTGGAAAGATCAACTATTAGCTATGACACATGTACTAAGAGGGGTTCTGTCACCAGCTAGCTAGGACCAGGTAACCAGTGTGACATTAGTAAAAGGCATGTCATCCCTGCCTCCCAAGTGGCTATGAAATCTGACAGACTCACTGACAGACAATGCAGGGAAAGTGCTGGGTTCAAGTACAAGACCCAACAGCTACAGGCACAGGTTAAAAACTAAAGCTTGGGCAAGGAAAAGTCTGCAAAATCCCAGAGGGAGTGTTTGGCAGAATTGGAACCAGAACATACATCTCTCCAAATCCAATCCAATGTCTTTTTACTGGTAGAAAAATGAGGCCACTGACACCCAATTCTAGAAAATAACTGTTATTAGTATGCATGCCAAATTACAATCTGTGAAATACCTCTGCCAGTTTCAAGTTCAAGTCCCTGAAATAATGGAACTCCAAAGAGATGAACCCACAGAGCCAGCATCCATTTAGCAAAAACAGGACTACTTAGAAAACTGGCCTAAAGTGGTCAACTCTATAAAACATCCCCCCCCCCCCAATTACGATCTCTGTGAGACCTGAGGCTGGACAGTTCAAATCTCAAAACTTGAAATGGCCAGGTCAGGCTAACTACAGTGGCCAGAAATATTGAGGAAATAAAGGCCCCACAGGGGTAATTTCCTCAAGCTCTCAATAGCAGAACCCCACCGGGGTTCTTCAGGTATTCATCCTGCCCTTTGCACAGAATTAGGGATGCACTATAGACATTTTGTAGTTTTAATTCAAGGGAAAATAGCAGTGGTTAAGGTACTGGGAGGCAGTAGAAAACAATAAAACAGAAATGAGGAGTGTGGGGCTGGATAAAGAGGTGAATCATAGATTTCAAAAAGAAATCAAATATCAAGCGGTCTTACTGAATATGTCTGTCTGCCCTTATCTGCATATCTAAATAACATCAAGTAGCCGAAATAAAAACGTGACTTCTTACACTAAAGAAATGTTTATCGAAAACAGAGAGAGGGAAAACCTGCTCGATAGAAATATGCACATTTACAGAATAGAAAATGTCTAGTACCTGCTGCCCTGGGAACTACTGTGAATGTGCGTGTTGGGCCCGGATCCTTTATTGACTGAGCCAGCGGCTGCGAATGCTCTAAATTTAAGGATCCTACAATTAGAGAAACACGTTATCCTGGGATATGGCACCCTTGGTTTGTGTGCTACACAGGTAGGGGCTGCGCAGGGCAGACATGGTTCGTGAAACGGAAACGACCGTGTGGACTCGGGTTCTGGGCTACCGCCGCCGGGGAACGCGGGGCTTTCCGGCCCGGCTGGAGCGCGCCGCGGCCTCGGCCCGGAGGGCTGCGGCGCCCGGTCATCGGTCGGCATCCCGCGGGTCCTGGGGCCCTCGTGCCACTAGCTCGCCCGGTGCGGTCCCCGGCCTTGAACTCACCATCGCCGGACAGAATGTAGCACTGGGAGAGGAAGAGCAGCACGCGGGACAGACGGCGGACAGACAGCAGCGGCTCTGCCGCAGCCGCCATCTTGCCGGTGCGCACGCGCACTTCCGGGCCAGGAGGCGGGGCTGTGGGGCGCGACGAAGTGGGCGTGTCCGGGCGCGGCCCGCAGGCGCACTGCTGCTGGGCTCCGCCACCGGCACCGCCGGTTCCCAGCACCGAGGCCAGCAGCCCGAGCTGGCTCGGACTTGAATCGACATCATGCCCTTTGAAGAGGTGTACCTCTCTTTCCACTGGGAGCCTGGGAGAGGGCGGTGATGAAGTTACCCATTTATTTACGTTGACCCATGCAGCTAGGGATGTAGTCCTAGAGGGACAGGTGGCTGGCCGGGGTCCCAGGTGCCAGGACCCAGGACTTTTGCTTTAGGTTTCACCACAGTCTAACTTTGTGGGGAGGGCACGCGGTTCTTACAGTTCCTCTGAGACTGGGAAAAGCAGGTCAGGCCTCAGGGGCCTTGGGTAAGAGCCTAGTGTGTGGGATTTTCCACGGAAGAATCCCAGCCCTGCCTCACCGAGAGAGACGACCAACCTTGAGGAGGGGAGCTGCTCTCAGCGAACTGCACTGTTTCCATCACACCTATCTCGGGAACCCCTGGCCCACATGTTAGCTCACAACCATCCATAAGTACAGTTCCAGGGATCTAGTGACCTCTTCTGGCCTTTGCAGGCACCTATAGTGCACAGATATACAGGCAGACGAAACAACCATACACACAAAATAATTTTAAATTTTCAGAAATACAGCCCACAGGCACAGACAGGCAAATCTCCGTGAATTCCAGGCCATCCAGGTCTACATACTTGAGATCCTGTCTCATTAAAAAAACAAAAAACAAAAAACAAAAAAAAAAAAAAAAAAAAACAAAAAAGTCAGAAATACACTTGAACACTTGATTCAGCAAATAAGTGGAACACCCCAGTAATTCATCCCTAGAAAAGCAATGTGGCATGGCATATACATTGCAGAGGTTCTAGAAATGCCATGTGGTGCATTTTATTTGGAAATTTTTTTTTAATAAATAAGGAATTGTGGTTTAGAAGCATTAAAACTGCAACTTGTAACCTACAATGCAAATAACAGATTACACAAAATTTCTTTGAGGTTCATAGTCCTTTGCCACTAACACAATATTAGTACTTCTCTTACCATTGCGGGCTAAGTGATGTAATGATTCCAACTTTGGACACGAACATTCTGAGTGGCCTTTAGTAAAACAGCCATAGATATATCTGAGGCATGTGTATTAGAAAAGAAGACACACACACCTATGTTCAAAAAGACCATGGGCTTTTATTTAAAGTCTATTTTTGTTGTTTGTTGAGAGGTGGCATTCGCTGGGAATGGATCCCAGGGCCTCGTATGTGCAAGGCAGAGCTGTAGTCACAAACTGACAGCCCCCAGGCTGGAAGCAAGACTATGGAGGAAGAAGGCAGCATACTGTTTGATAACATTCTCACCATTTTACCAGTGAGCCCTCTGAAGTCTTGATGTGTTGTCACTTTCTCCAGCTTCTCCTGTTTAGTCTCAGAACACAATGAAATCTGTATATATCAAATAATCTGTATATATCAAATAATCATTTTCGTTTTAGATGAACTCATTAGTGGCCTATCAGTGGCCCAAAGGTTCTTAGAAGTACTAATATCTTAAGTTCTCAAGAAAATGTAGAAGTACAAGGAGCAGACTTCAAAAGTCTTCCTCAGCATTCAGAGTGCGTGAATTTTTTAAGTTCTTCAATTTTTCAATGACAGAAGCTATTGGAATTTCTCCATGAATTTTGTTGTCTCTTGTTCGAACATTTACTGCATTATTTACCTTTTCCTTTTCACCAACCACTGTAGAAAAGAAAGTGAAATAAACATGTTTAATATTAATGATTTACCAATCATGAAGTTAACAGTCATTTAGCACATGCCTGAATTGCCCCTCAATATTACTTACTAAACTTCAGTCTATCGAGCATTAGATTCCCCCCTCAATAGTTAAGTGTCTTGAGGGGAGGGATGGTGTCTGTGCCTCTTTCCTGTCTATTTCGGAATACACTGTTGTGGTGTTGGAACACAAATGGGAAGGGAATTTTTACAGCCATCTGATTCTTTCTATCCTATTTGATGACTCCAAGGAAATATGTGGCTGGATCCAGGCAAGCCAACCAGAATTTTCTAAGATGTGGGGGAAAGCCTGTTCTCTCTAGTAATCCATGCTGTGAGAAGATGCAGGAATGTGCATCCATGTTCCTTTCCACACAGAAAGAAGAAATTGTGAAGAGGGATTTAGAGGCTATTCAAAAGTATAAAGGGTCAGAACAAAACAGGAACTAGAAATGGAGAGACACTGTCCTAGTGAGGGCTGAGTTCCTGGTTACTTTTTCAATACCTTGGCTATTGATTTTTCTTTCTGGCATCAGTCACTCTGGCACCCTTCCAGTAAAATAATATGAGATTTATAACACAACGAGAACCTGATGGAAACATCCAATTCTTTCTACAAGGCAAACATTACCAGTGAACAACTGTCGATAGAACAAGTCTGGGTTTTTTTTATTTTTATTTTTTCTTTCTGCTACAGAATCTTTTAACTTACAGGACATACCCATACCATACTTCAGGCATGTCAATATCAGTTTCTCTTGATTTTATTGTAATTTTCACTTGTTTCTTTTTTAAAAGCCACATTTTTAGACTTTGTACCCAATTATATATCTCTGAGAATGTTACTTATTCATCTTTCTTTGAATCATTTAAAATTTAGAATCTTTTCTACACATAGTTTAATGACCCAATTTCTAATAAACCAGAAAATCGAAGAGGAGCATCTGGGCCTTGCATCAGGGTGGGGCAGAAGTGTGCAATTCCAAGAAATGATCTTGGTGTCTGTCTCCATTTGGGCTTAAATGTTAGCTGCTGCTAGTGATGCTGCAGCACGGACTCCTCGTGTGCTACAACTCAACAGTCGACTTGACTTGTAATAAGTAGTTACTCCATCTTCCTCCTTTTTATTTTCTTTAATTCCCAAGCCAAGCAATTGAAGAAGTGTATGAGATTAAATTACCCAAAATAAAATTATACTGCAATAGCTGTGCATGCCGTATCTTCTTATTTAGTGTACAGCTCTCATCTAAGTCCACATCAGCCATAAAGCCTTCTTGAAAACATTCCTTGGACACCTAGAAGACAGAGGGATATGCCTGACATTATGTCATTGATGGTAGCCAGGCTCCACAGAAGCCTGGTTTCCCAGCTCCTTGTACTAACACCCTGTGTAGTGATTGGCACTTCATTCAGACTTGGTCTGTGTGAGTCACAGAAAGACACGGAAGGGAGGGTGTATTACTATTAAATCTAGGTTGTCAAAGCCTCCCTTGCTCTGGAGGGCATTCCAACAGCCTGAGAAGAAGCTCACACATGGGCATGGTACTCATGTCCTTAGCTGCATGCTTACAAGAGGCCATGCTAGAACCAACCAGCTAGGGGGCTAAAAAGATGGCTCAGCAGTTAAGATCAAGTATTGCTCTTGCAGAGGACCCAGTTTTGGTTCCCAGCACACTCATAATGGCTCAACACTCCACCCTCATAGTTCCGGGGGATCTGGTACCCTCTTCTAAACTCTTCAGGCACCAGGCACAGACAGACAGGCAGGAAAGCACTCATACAGAGAAGATAAATGAGCCAGGTATAATGATGCACACCTTTAATCCCACATTCAGGAGGCAGCCTTATTTATGTTCCAGGACAGCCAGGGCTACAGTCATTTGAAGACAGGTCCTGTCTTTAAAAAAAAAAAAAAATCCCAAATATATAAATAAACAAAAATTTTAAAAAATTTAAAAATAGAAATCAACAAGCTAAGCTGCTTCCAGACTCCTAACCTCTTCCCCTGAAAGTAAGACAATAAATATCAGATGTTATAAGCTGCAGATAATAAGATATTCTACCCCAGTAAAGATACATGGGAAAGAGTAAGTGTGAAGTGCTCAAAAACACTCATTTCTCCAAAACATTAAGGAAGCAGTTCTGATGCAGCCCCACAGACACAATTCACGTATTGCTCCCATTGACTGAAAGCACAGGTTGTCAACATGCTTATAAGGAACTACAGTCCTAGAACTCATGCTGTAGACCAGGCTGGCCTCCAACTCACAGAGATCTGGCTGCCTCTGCCTCTCAAGTGCTGGGATTAAAGGTGTGGCATGCACCACCACCATTGGGCATTATCTTAAAGCATGCATGGTATGCTACACAAAATACATGCATGGTATCCGACACAAAATACATGGCAAGTTATTGTATACTTCAAATGTCTGTTATTTTACCTGAAGTGCATAATTTTCACAAGTTGGACCCACAGGGATGACCATTACCTGTCGAGGAGACAGCCAGAGAGGCCTGGAAAATATGTAAAATATGTATGTTCAGAGTCATTTCAAATGAGCACTTGTGTGATTAAAAGTAGCAACGCTTTCTCGGGGCAAGTTTTACAAGACAGTGGTATTGGTACAATGGCACAGAAGCAAATGGAACTTTATGTTGGAAGCATCAGAGCAGACAGAAAAGGAGGCCTGGAATCTGAGAGGAAAAGAGAGAGGACACATTATTGCACTCCTGGGCATCTATTCCAGAAGTCTTGTGTCTACACAGCACCTCCACACTGCTATCCACAGTGGCTTTACTTAGAGCAGCTCCAGACGGAAAACACCCAATTGTGCTTCAGTGGGTGAACAGTCCAAAATGGTCAATCACACTTTGGAACACCAAGAGCAATCACAGTGAACTGATAGAATAAAGATGGCGTTCAAGGGAATTCTATGTGACTCATTTATGTGACATTCTTGAAGTGACAAAATCATGGAGAAAAAAAAATAGGTGTGCGGTTGCGGGATTGGTAGATAGCAGAGGGATTGTGCATGTGTGGCATGAGCAGTTGTTACAAATGATGGCATTTTTCAGTACTACGACTGGTGGTGATCACTTCATGTTTCCAGTGATACATATGGAACTAAACACACCCGTGCATAGAATTGAGCACATGTGAAATGGCAACATCTATGTAATTCTACAACATGTTATCACTGAGGGAAAGTGGGCAAATTATACAGCTCTCTGTATTACTTCTCACAACTACATGTGAACCTAGGATTGTGTCAAATACAATGCTGCTTTTAATGAATATAGAGGGCAATGTTTGATGTGAGACACATTGACCTTTTCCTTCATTGTGGTGAGAACTTAGTTAAAGGTGGAATGGAGTACAATGGGACTATTCTCAGCTGCTACCTTATGAATGTCCATATTCACATACTTTTTCTTAAATGACAGAAATAAAATAACACATAAAACAAACATAATCAAACAATGGCAAAACTCATAAGCACCGTGTATAAAGCTAAAAGTAAATGTTTCTGTCTATACTCTGGTCTCATCCTACCCACATGCTGTTTCCCCCCAGGGACCCTCAATTTTGGAGACATTTTCATCAAAAGTCTGGCAGGGAGAATGGCCGAGTCCCTGAAGAGAGACTGGTCCCTCCACACAGGATCACCTTTTGCCCCCTTCTGCATGTCCCCATCCCACCAGTTTCCCTTAGGTTTTGGCCCACTTCCCTACTCCATCCCAGCACAAGACACCTATTTCTACCCATTTCACCTCACCTACTTCTACCTATTTAAACCAGAGCCAACTGTTCAGAGATATAAACATGCTAACTCATACACAGCAGCATGCATTTTTGGCCTCTGTAGATCGAAACTCTGTGAGACCACAGTGCATGGCTCTAGGTGAGTTATTTGGGACACACACAGACTTGCTAGCAATGCAGGGTCTTTGCAAGATGCTCAATTCAGAAATTTCCCACCTTACTTTCACTGCTCAGACAGATGAGCACAGCATGCTGCTGCGGGACAGTGTCACCAAGAAGGCAGCATCACCTGGCAAGACTGATTCCATTACACAGAACTTTCAAAGGAAAATGAGGAAGTGGCCCTGGCAGTGGTACCCAAAGTCTACTATGGGAGCTGCAAGGATTTTTTGTAGGGACAATAGCTCTGGAGACAGAACTAAGCTCTATTAGCAGACAGGAGCTATTGTTCCACTGGTGGCTGTTGGCTTGCAGCATCAGTATCCTAGGGTGTGTTACCTTAGTACCAGCTGTTACCATGCTGTTGGTGAGTCCAGTGATGATGGCTCACCTCCTCACTTCTCTGCTAAGAAAGTGCTACATGGTACTGCTGGCAGAGCAGAACAAAACAACATCCAGGGTTTCCATCTTTTCTAAGGAAATCACTAGCTTCTGGCATCTGTCTTGAATAATGAAAGAGACCTAAAACAGTCAACTGCCCCAAACTAGCTGGCTGTTCCCATGGATAAGGACTGGTCTTTACTGATGAGAATTGAGTTCTCAGAAAAGTTTTAGCAATGTGGAACCAAATGAGATCACATTCATGTGGTGGAGTCCATGAATAGCCCCTGTTGGCCCCAGTTTGTGAACCACTGATTGAGTTCTCTTGAATATTCAAAAACTCAACAGTGAGGGCCTTTTGCTGGGTAATGCCACCATAATAGCTGTCTTAGTTTCTATTGCTATGATAAAAAACTGTGACTAAAGCAACTTGGGATAAAGGGTTTATACTGCATACACTTCCACACTATTGTCCATCACCAAAGGAAGCCAGGACAGGAACTCAAGCAGGGCAGGAATCTGGAAGCAGGAACTGATGCGGAGGCCATGGAGGGGTGCTGCTTACTGTCTTGCTCCCCATGCCTGCTCAGCCTGCTTTCTTATAGAACCCAGGACCACCAGCCCAGGGATAGGACCACCCTCAATGGGCTGGGCTCTCCCCCACCAATCACTACTTACAAAAACATCTTACTGCAAAAATCCACAAACTCCTGGAGTACAATCGAAGCAAGGGAGGAGTGATAATATGAACAAAGGAGTCAAGACCATGATGGGCAAACCCACAGAAACAGTTGACCCAAGCTAGTGAGAGATCACTGGCTCAGGTCTGACAAATGGGGATCCTGCATAAGACTGAACTAGACTCCCTTAATATAGGTGACAATGGTGTGTCTGGGACAATATTTGAGATCACTGGCAGTGGGTCCAAGATTTAACACTAATGCACAAACTAACTTAGTGGAGTCCATTCTATATGGAGAGATACCTTGCTTAGCCTAGACACTGGGGTATGGGGGTGGAGAGGTGCCTTGGTCCTTGCCTCAGAGAGATGATGGTACAGACTTAGTAGACTTCCTAGGAGAGGCTTTATCCTCTCCATGGAGCAGATGAGGGGGGAGTGGGAGGAAAGGAGGGAGGGGAAACTGGGATTGGAATGTAAAAAATAAATAATTAAAAAAAAAAACAATCTTACAACCAGATCCCATAGAGAGGCATTTTCTCAATTGAGGTTCCCTCCTCTCAGATGACATGTCAAGTTGACACAAGACCATCCAGCAGAAGTCCCATGGATGATATGACCATTATCCCTTTTTCCCAATCCTGTCATCTATTTTTTTCATTCTGATTACTTCTCCATATTTGGCCTTGCGATCACTCACCACACCTGTGGCCAGTCTTCCTTCGACCCCAAGCTGCAGCACACAATATTGCCTTTCCTTACTGGGCCTGTACTGCTGGGGCAGCTTCTCTACGCTGGTGCTGGATACTGTGTGTGTCATACGTGAGTCAGATGCATGTGTTGTCCTCTGTGGTCACAAGCCACAGGGATTCCCCCAGGGTAACAATCAAAGTTGAAAGGGAAGGCAGTGATAAGGCATGAAACCATAGGAGAGGACATGTTTTCCAGACAACAGCTGAAACTCTGGTGGGCTGGAAAAAGGTGAAAAGGTAACTCTTCAACATAGAGTTACAGTTTGATGCCACTCTGCCTGTATTCCTGTTTCCCAACCCGGCAAATGGAACAAGAATTCTCCATTTGCTGCATGGACACTTGCTAACTATGAGGCAGAAATTTAATCTGCTCAGACTTAACTTTGAAGGAGTCACTCAGCCTTGCTTGCACGTCACTTACCACTTCCCGCTGTAGTTCTCTGAGAGAATGGCTAGCATCCTTTCCACGGATCCCAGAATGGCACGGTGAATGATCACGGGCCTGCTCTTGTCATCCCCATCTTTACTGAAAACATGGAAACTCATGTTAGGTATTTCCTTAAGACTGGCTATAGGTTTACCCCTTGCCCTATATTCAGTGTTGCTTGTTATTATTATTAATTTCTTTTTGGTATCTTCATCAGGAAATTGTTTTTATTGGCAGCTTTCCTGAGACTTTGCCTTTCTCACTAATCATTTATTTGTAAATCACTTTATCAGAGAACACTTTAATACACAAAAGCTGAAGGGTATAGTGAACTCCACGAACCCTTTCTGAGCTTCACAAATGTCCACTCACAGCTAGTCTTATTTAATCCAATTCTTGCCTCATCCACTGCTCCATTGTAAGCTTTATTTTTCCAAAATACTTCTGACATTCATTTTAGAGTCTACCAGTAAAATTTACCTCTCAGACCACACACTGCCAAGACACATAATTTACAGTTCATCATTTCTCTATAGGAGAAAACGATGAAGCCAACTGTAACTGCCAACTTCAATGAAGCAAGACGCACCAAGACCTGTGTACACTCTCAGACGGTAAAGCTTGGTTACTCAGCACATGTAACCCATGACATGGAAGACAGTCTCACCCGAGACAAACAAAACAAACCTAATGCACGTGTGTTAAAACTGGATGCTGAACACTGCCGCTGATGGTCACTGCAGATTCTGGCAGAAGTCTGGTAGATCCCAGGGAGCTTGGCAGGGAGGGGATGGGGGAAGGTACTCAAGAGCATCATGATCTTGTTCCTACATGGACCTATGCAGATGTCACCTGCTCCACAGGTGGAACAATATGGAATATTCCTAAATGTTCTTTGCTGTTTCGTGTGGGAAATGAAGGTAGGATAGCCTCTGTGCGTCCAACATTTTCTGTTTCATCGTCATTTCATTCAACTATTGACCAAAAGCTACTCGTACATACTTCTATTATCCAACAAATCTCAGAATGAATGCCCAGGCCCTACAAACAATTCCAGAGGATTAGACTTCCTATGTAAATTAGACAAGAACCAATGATTCCCATATTGATTCTTCCCATTCCAAGAATGTGGATTGAACCTTCGCTTAAGTTACTGTTTTGCCTTTGATACAATCTCCTGATGCACACACCATACAAATATCACACCCTCTATTTCTTAGGTTCACTCCTTGTCACTCTGCACTGTGTCACTGCTTCTGAAATCCTTTTGTCTTGTTTTTTTTTTTTTCCCCCAAGCAGGTGACTACTGACTTGTAGGAAGGCAGACAGGACACTCCACTCCAGAGTTATTAACTCTGAGTTCTGTCCTTTTGAACTGAGGAATTTTTAGACATGAGAGCCAGATGCCATTGTCATGCTGTTTGGACTTTAGTGCTGCCAGAATTTTAGTCAAATAAATTAAGTTGCTTTATAAAGTAGCCAGTCTTAAGAATTTTGACCTAGCTGTATAATTGCATGAGGACAATCCCCAGATTATATATAAGTCCACAAGTGTTAGTACACAACCTAGACACTAGAACTCAATGGTGCTTATGTTTGTATTGCCCATGATCTTAGGACAAATAATGAAGATATTAGAATCACTCACCTAACATATGTGAGGTTAAACCTAATAGGCAGTTGGAAGTCCAGCTGAATTGTAGCACACTGATGGTATCTGCCAATAGCATCTTTAATTTTTATGTCAATCTGTAAATTAAGCAATATTTGCTTAGAGACAGTCTTTATATATTTTTTCTAACCTTCTCTTTCTTTTTCTTTTCTTGTTTCTCAGGTATATGCTCTACTTACTTTAGGGCCATAGAATGCTCCATCTCCTGGGCTCATTTTCCATGGTTTTCCAAATTCCATCAAGCTATTCTGCAGTTGCTTTTTGTTTAAAAAAAAAAAAAAAGATCATTAAAAATGTCTTCTTTATTACATACTCATCCTTTTGCCCATATAGCTCATCAGTATCTATACATATTAATTACATCCTACCTTCATTCAATGCATGTTTATCAAGTGTCTTTTGCCTTCAATAAACTGCTGAGTGAGGACAATGCAAGGATGATCACATGATTCTGACTCTGAAGTGTATGTACATTTCAACTGGGGGAAATGCACTGTTTCCTAAATTGTTCTAAGGGATTCTAGAAAAGGCCTTCCTTCCAGTGAAGGCCCTCTTTGTCTTACACACTGACAGCAGGTGTCTCCTGGTTTGCTTCTCTGTTGCTGTGATAAGACCATGACCAAAACTAACTTGAGAAAGGACAGTTTATTTCATCTTACAAGGCCCAGGTCACAGTCATCACAGAGCAAAGTCAGGGCAGGAGCCAAGGGGCAGGACTGAAGAAGGGACCACAAGGGAACACGCTCATATTTGGCTTTATTTATTTGTTTGTTTGTTTATTTATTTATTTATTCTTGTACCTTTCAGGGCCTCCTGCCCAAGGACAGCACTTTCAGTGAACTGGGCCCTCCCACATCAATCAGCAATCAAGAAAATGTCCCACAGACATGAGACATGCCTGCAGGCCAATCTGATGGAGGTAATCCTCAATTGAGATTTTCCCTTCCCAGATATGTCTAGGTTTGTGACAAGCTGGCAAAAACAAAGCAGAACAATGTGTCCCCTGGTGATGTGTCTGACAACTATATCTCTTTGTAGGTGGGGCTTCCACACATGATGATGGCTGACAGCCTTGGTCCTGATTCCCTTTCTCACTGTGTGTGGTGGGAGGGAAGACAAAGACAGAACTGCACTACTTCTCTTTGTATTTCTTTGACTTGGCTTCAGTTGGGGGGCAACCCTTATGTCTTACTGGTATAGAGATGGAACCTCACTTTCATGTTCAGCTTTAGCCAGCTCAGGCTTTATGGTGAAGATGCTTGGCACTTACTTATAGTGAGTGAATGTCCAGGTGAATACTAATAGAAGAAACCCTGGGCCAGCTTCCCTGGAGAGCACAAGATACAATATGTGAAACTCCACCCAGGTTTCTGTCACAACCCCATACACTGTGGCCAAAGAAAGGTTTGACACTTGGTAGGCAGGGGGTCTTTTGGGAGGTGGTACTTCTGCATTGCAGCTGGAATTACCACAAAACTGATTCCTGGGGTCTTGGTGGGCTTTTCCAGGGTCCCAGTCAGGGTGTGTTCTTAACAGAGAGAATTTTATTCCTGAGAAGCCACCAACATCCCTAGTGGGCTTAGCTCTATAGGAGCAGCCACCCCTCTCTTAGGACCAAGAAAATACACCTGCATAGAAGTGCTTTCCAGGCTTGTGGGGTGAGGGGTCTCCTCCTCAACTGTACTGTTTCTGAAGGAGAATGTCTACTAGACAGAGAAACTGATGTCCCATGACAGCAATTGGAGGGTCTTGGAGCTCCCAACGTATTAAAAATCCAAAGATAGGCCAAGGTTTGGAGAAGACTATAAAGCAGGGGTCACCAAATTGTTATCAGGCCTCTGTGGACAGGGTGAGGGAGTGCAATGGGAGCAGAGCTGACTACAGAGGGCTAAGAAAGCTTTGATTGTTTCCAAGCCATCACAGTGACTTGGGAAGAAAGCGACGAGGACAACAGTGCAGAAACAATAAAATAAAACCCCTTAAACATTCATCTCCCTAACTCCCAGATGATCAAAGGTGACCACTGTGGAAGAAAGCCACCATAAGAGAGGAAGGTCTACCCTGTAATGCCATATTCCTGGGAGACGTCAGGCTTGTCTGCGAAACTTTAGCCACATCAATCAAAAAGCAAAAATGTCAAGACTTCTTGCCCATTATCCCCATGCCATGCCCATCCATTCTAAATGGTTTGAGTGAGACTGATGGTGATGACGACACACAGACCAACTGCACATCTGCCCGGCACTAGGCCCATTATTAGCTCCTACACATGAATTCATTTACGTTCCTGAGCACAGCCTCATGCAGTAGGTGTTGTCACCCTGGCACAGCCACCACCATTACATCTCTTTTCAGTCCTGATCCTCAGTGAGATGTAGTTCCCCACAGAGCTTTTGGAGTCAGCATCCTTCCTAGGGGAGGTCTCAATGGACTTTGGTCCTCCATTCAGTAGGCAGGGAAGAAGAGTATAGTTTGGGCACAGGGCAGGGGTGTGTGTGAGGAGGAGACCCTATCACAGCTCAAGCCCGAGTCTGCACCTCTGCCCAGCCCCCATCTACTCCCTAAGTGAACGTAACTGTTACACTCTCCATACAGTGGCCCCCATTCTTCTCACTCCTGTCTGTGAGTGTTCTAGAGAAGGTGGACCAGCACTGAAGACAATTAATGAAATCTCACATCAGCTTCAGAGTGTAAAACAGATGGTTGCTGAGGTGGTGAGAACTGGCCAGCCATACTCCACAGTGTGCATACTCACTCCCCGACTCCTCAGTTTACAACCCCAGGGAAGGGCAGTTTCTCAGGCGTGTGACATTTGTCACAGTGCTTACCCTTTCAGCCTCATCCCACATCTCAGTCTCTCCTAGGAAGTGCTCAGGCCGTGTTGACAGGTTTAATTGAAAGGAGAAGCCAAACGTTGAGTAAACAGACTGCAAAAAGTGCAAGCACCCCTTTATTTCTTCTTCAATCTGAAATTAAAGCAGTTGAAACACTCAAATGGAACACCAACTTAAAATTCACTCATGGCATTTTAAACAACAAATTATTTGTGTCAAATAGTCACTAAAACTGATTTTTAAAAAAGCTTTTAAGAATTTTTATGTGAGTATGTTTGCCTGTATGTATGTGCCCCACATGTATGCCTGTGCCTGCAGAGGCCAGAAGCAGGTATCAGATCCCTTAGAAAAGGAATTATAGATGGTTGTAAGCTCTGATGTAGATGCTGGGGACTGAGTCCGGGTCCTCTGCAAGAGCAGCAGTGTTCACCAACAAGGCATCCCTCCAACCCCACAAAGCTTGGCTTTAACACCATGCAGATGGCACCTTCCATTGCTAACACTGACTAAAATTTCTTTTGAGACCTATACACGGGCATCTTAGTGTATCTCTGCATATATGATTTTAGTTTTCTCTGGGTTCTGTATAGCATTGTAACCTACAGGTGTCATGAGTTACAAGTTCAAATGAATGTAGAAACTCCACTTCCTTTTACCCTCCTCCATTTAATAGCATCATTTGCTTAAGCATTTCCTCTCTGTTTATTCAGGACCATATCAGGCAAGGATATATTTTTTGCTTCAACCACTGGGCATAACTTAGAAAACTCAGAAGGAAAACAGAATGTTTACCTATTTTTACTTTCACAATTTTAAAGTCCCTCATGTTCCGATCCTCTGCCTCACTCTCTACTCATAGCCATCCTTCTGTGGCATGGCTGGTATCTTTATCTCTCCATCACTCCTGAAGGATATTTTCTCTAGACTGGGAATTCTAGGACAACAGTTCTTTTAGTCCTTGAAAAAGGCGGATCCACTGCTGACCACCATGTGAAAAGCTATCATTCAAATTGGGATGTTTTTCTCTTCTAACTCTTCATTTCCTTTGCTCTGCCCTTCTTCTTCTCCTTCTTCTCCTCCTCCTCCTTCTTATTATTATTATTTTTCTTCTTCTTCTTCCTCTTCCTCTTCTTTTTTTTGTTTTCACATTTAACTCACATTTTAGTATAGATTTTTCTGGGTGTGTTCTGTTCGGAGCACTTGACTTCCTGACTCTGGAGGTTTGGTCTTTTAATGGATTTTAAAAGTTCTCAGTCATCATCATCCCCTCCCATGTCCCTGCAGAGGGTGAGGACATGGAGGTCAGGTGGAAGTCATGTGTGGCCAGTCCCTTCCCCAGTTTCATTTCCTGCCTTTCAGATTCTATTTTTATATCTATAGATTTTCCTGTCTCCTATGTTCTGCTCATGGATCCAATTACTGAGTTTTTATTTGGGCTTTTAATTACACATTCCATTAAATTTCTACTTAGTTCTTCACTGTGATCTTTATTTCTTCCTTGGAATTTTCCCGTTTCTGAGTCTTGGAATGGTTCTTATTGGTTTGAAATGGTTTTGTAACTGTCTCCAAAAACATTATGATGGCTGCTTTAATATCTTTGTCATAGAGCTGGAGAGATAGCTCAAGTCAGATTCCCAACACCCACATTAGGAAGCCTGTGACTCAAGCAGGGATTTTGATGCCCTCTATTGGCCTCTGTGGGTGTCTGAATATAACACACACACACACACACACACACACACACACACACACACACACACACACACACGAACAAATCTTGAAAACCTTCATCCGATAATGTCAACATGGCAGTCATCTCTTAAGAAAGAAGGAAGAGAACTTCTTCGACCTAATGGCAGGCACTTCTGAAAAACCTAAGTAGGAGCAAGATAAAGATGTCACCTCTCATTGGTTCTAATAGTAATTATTATCCCAAGGAATCCTGTGATGCAAGAGAGGTAACAGTGCTGAATAGTGCTGCTGTTCAAGGGTTGGCTGTCCTTTCTCACTCAAGGTGAGGTGCTCCTGATTATTGGCACAATGAGTGTTTTTAGTTTCTGAGTCCTGGGCATTTAGGATGAGATTCTGGATCAGAAAATTGTTTTGGTTTTTCTTACTAATACTGTTCCAGACTGGTTACTCCCAGGTGGGAGTGGAATTTTCTTCAAGACTCCCAAGGGTGAAAGGGCTCATTCTTGCTGCTCAACAGCTGGGTAGCTCTGACTCCAGAGCAGAAAGTACATGGCCTCAACATGGCCAAACAATCTACAAGTAAAACATTTCCATTTTCTTTCTAACCTGGATGCTTGTTTATTTCTCTCTTGCTTATTTGTTTATATATCTCTCTTTCATTAAGAGATTCCCTGGAACAAAAATTCCCCGGGACAATAATTAGTAATGGAACCAATGAGAGGTGATATCTTATTTTGCTTCTACTTAGGTTTTTCAGAGGTATCTGTCATTAGGTTGAGGAAGTTATCTCCTCTTCCTTCTTTCTTAAGAGTTTTCAGTGGGAAACAAATGTTGGATTTTGTCTGATGCTTTTCCAGCATCCACTGATAGGATAATTATTGAGATGTTCCTTCTTCTTTTTTAAAATTGTTTTTATGTGTATGAGTGTTTTGCCTGCATGAATGTCTGTACATCATGTAGATACTGGGGACCAAACTTGGGGCTCTCAGCATGAACAATAATTGCATGTGTTCTTGATCACTGAGCAATCTCTTCAGCTTCAAGATACATTTTCTTTTCTTTCAGTTGGAGAATACTGTAAATTGCAATGCTTCATTTTGTAATATTAAACCAGTATCTAACATTATACATCTTCCATTTCTGGGATAGACTCCTCTTGGTTAAGACACAGTGCCCTTTGTGTATCACATTCAGATCAGTCTTTTCTAGAAATATCTTTGTCATGTTTTGTTTCAGAGCACTGGAATCCTCCTAGGATGAGTTGATAATGACTTCTTCTGCTTCAGTTTTCTTTAACATTCAGTCTAGAATTTTCTTCAGTGTTTAGAGTCAGTGAAACCAACATGCATTGTCAATTCAATTTCTGTGATGGCCACAAGGCTACTCATTGAATTCTACTTGAGTAAAGGCTTTTAGTTTGCAGTTTTTAAACATCTGTCTACTTTATCCAAGTTGCCAAATTTATTAACATAATGTTATTCATAAACATGTCTGAAGCATGTGACTTTGGCGGCTTTCTAATCAAATATTTAAACTTAGTCTATTTATTTGTTGGTCTAAAAAAGTCTTTTTGCAATGATAAAAACATATGCCTTACCCCCTGAGTATCTGAGGAGTCTCTACCAATGACACCCTATTTCTAACATTTTTCTTAAGCTTAGGAATTTTGTTGATCCTGTCAGAGAACCCGCTTTTGGGTTTTGTTGGTGTCCTCTCTTATTTTTCTGTTTTCAGTTGACTCTGTTGTTTCTGGTACTTGCATCCTGGCAAGGAGCCTGAAGTAGGGCAAGGCTGCTTCACCTCATGACCCTTGGACAGGGCTGAGACTCAAGATCCTTTCATGGTACTCCCATGACTTCTTCTGATAAGGCTCACTTTCTAAGGTTTCCACTACCTCCCAGGAGCACCACCAGCTAGGGGCCATGCCTTCAGTAACAAACTTGAGGGGGGAATTTAAGAACCAAATAAGTCTCTTGTTTGCCCATTGTCTTAGATAAGGTTTCAATTGCTGTGATGAGACATCATGACCAAAATAAACTTGGGGAGGAAAGGGTTTCTTTTGCTTACACTTCCATATCACAGTCCATAACTGAGAGAAGCCATGGCAGGAACTAAAGTAGAGGACATGGAGGGGTTCTGCTTACTGGCTTTCTCCTCATGGCATGCTCAATTTCTTATAGAATTCAGAACCATCATCCCAGGAGTGGCATTGCCCCAGTGAGCTGGGCCCTACCATATCAAACATCAATTAAGAAAATTCACCATGAGCTTGTCAACAAGCAATCTGGTGGTGGTATTTCTTCAATTGAGGTTCCTTCATCCAAACTAAGCTTGGTTTGCATCAAGTTGCCATAAAAACTAGACAGCACACTTATTATTACTTTATTTTCTTTCTTTGTCTTACACTGGATATTACTGGCTCTTTGTCTTTTCTTGGTTTAAGTAGAAGCTGGGGTGATAAAAATGTACCTATGGACATCATTTTAATGACATCCCATAATTTATGATGTGTTTTTATTTTTATTGCATAGATCATATTTTCTCATTTTAGTTTGTATTTTTCCTTTGATCTATGGGTCATTTAAAAGAGTGTTGTTTAGTTTCCAAACAGATTTCTAATATTGTTTTTTACAGTGATTTCAATGGTCAGGAAACATTATATTTATCGAATCCTTTAAGTTTCCTGAGACATGTCATATAGTGCAGCATCTCTTGGCAAACTATCCACATGCTGTTGTTCTATGCCAGATCAAACTGTCTAGCAGTGTTTGATGGAGACCCTTGCATGGCAATTTTAATTTGAAAAGGTAAAACTAAGTTCCAGGCAATACACTGAAAACAATACCCCAATTCCCCTTAAAATATCCCACTTGTGGAACTTGAGTTAATAAAGTAAGTGAGGAAAACAATAAACACAATGCCAGGAAATGATTGGCCTCTTAACTCTAAACCAGAGGACCAGGAAAGGTTTCTCTTTGTGAATGTGCAGAGGCAAGGGCACACCTCATACTGCACAGCAGCTAGAAGACACTGAGCTGTAGGTCTGCAGAGCCAGTCCTCCCCAATATCGTTGCTTACCTGCTCCACCATGCAGAAGATGTGAGCATCATCCTGCTGGAAGCGCCTAACTCTGGTTAAGCCACTTAAAGTTCCTGACAGTTCATTTCTGTGAAGAACTCCAAAATCAGCAAATCGAACGGGCATTTCCCTCCAGGATCGTGGGCGATGGGCAAACATTAAACTAGAAAAAATACGAGATTGAACATACTTTACATGATGGAGAGAAAAGTGAACATCTAACACTCTGAAACTAAATCTCAAGATGTACAAATGCCTTGTGCTGGGTCTTCAATCAACAGGCAATTCTTTTTTTCTCCTATTATTATTTTTTATTTATTGTTTGGGCCCTGAGATTGAACCCTATGCCTCACATACTAACAATGTGCCATAAAAGTGACTGATAGCTCTAGCCCTCTTCTAGGAAGACCAACTGTGAGCTGCCATCACCACAGCACTGAGAAAGAATCCTGTCTATGCTATCCGCTTCCTGAAATGCTGCCTCTCCACATCCACCACCCACCTCCTCCACCCCACCCCCCGCCCACCCGCAGAATCATCCACTGATCAGGACTTTGTGGATCTTATTGCAATCACCCAAATAGTATGTGAATTAAATAACTGATGAACATGCATATTTGAAGTATATTATAATTAGGAAGACAAATACAATGATCTATAAAATCAATGCAAACTATTACTCTCTGAGAAATGTAGAAAATGAGAGTTCCCAGCTAACATTCCTTGCCTGCCAAAGACCAGGCACATTTTAAACAGAAGTTTCATTCTCTAGAATGAAATGATGAGGTAAGATGATCAACTGCCTCCACTCTTCCCATTACAGGAAATCACTTAAAAATGCAAAGCAACAATATGTAAAGCTAACTCTGATGAGGTGCTATGTGCACATGCAGGCTCCCCTTCGTGTCCGGTACTCACCAGTGCCCTGGACAGTTCATGGGTTTGAGGGCAAAAGTGTCCTTTTCAATATCAAAGGTGAACATGTTGCTACTGTAATGCTGCCAGTGGCCCGAGGTTTCCCAGAGTTTACTGTTGTACATGTTAGGAGAGATCACTTCAGTGAAGTTACGCTTGTGATATTCCTCCTTGAAGATAAATGGTTGATGTTAAAATCTACCAAGTTACAGCACAACTCCAAGCAGAGCAATACTATGAGCAACTTGTTTTTACTCAAGATCATGTCATCTTCTATTAAATACTGTTTCCTCAGGTTTGGGTGTGGCAGGTTTAAGAGTGGCAGTTTTGTGGATTATGAACAAGAAGTTTGCATATTCAAAGTGTATTTATTTCACAGCACACCACAGTACTGCCATTTGGAAATGAAGTATGCCCTAGAAGGCTCATGTGCTGAAGGACCGGTCCACAGCTGCACTCCAGCCTTGAGAGAGGGCTGAGCTGTGAGAACTCTGACTTCATCAGTCGATTAACTCACTCTTGGATTCCAAATTTGATGATATTATTGGGCAGTGATGGAAACTTTCAGAGGCAGGGCCTGTTTGGAGGACATTCATCCCTGGATGTCTGCCTAGGGTCTACATCTTCTGAATCTGGTTTCCTGTGTTCCTGGCTGTCAGGAGGTGAGTTGCTTTGCTTCTCCAGCCCTTCTACCCTGCCTCAGCACAGTCCCCAGATGGCAGAGCCAGCCAACAATGGACTCTCTGATGCTGGGGGCCAAAATGAATTCTTCCTCTTTTAAACTGTTCGGGTATCTTACAGAACATAAATTCAAACAGATGCAAAAGTATAGACACACATGTTTCAGTCCTTTCAAACTTAGTAAATGAAATTCTACATGCATAGTATCTTATTTAACTATAACTAAAAACTTCAAAGTCCTGTGTTCTTAGTAAACGATAACACCTTTACCCTATGATTTAGAAGACCTAATAATTTTATAATTTGTAAGTCTGGATGGCATGTTCCATGTTATAGTACTGGCCCATCCAGTTTTAAGTACAAAAAAACTGAGTAGTTGGTGTCTATGAAGCCACAGCAGCTTCTCCCACCTATTAGCACCTTCATTAACTCCATGAGACTAAGAAAGGAGAAATACCCACCCCCCCTGAGAAGTTTTAAAATTTTATTTCTATCTTTAATTCAACATATTAATTTGGTTGATATTTTCTTAGAAACACTTAAGTCATTTGTAAATAACTTAATAAACACATAACACAAATTTAGATCACCATACTTCAAACAATTTAAAATATATTTCTCACATATAAAAAAAAAAAAAGCATACTTTTATGGTGGAAAGAGCTATCCCTGGTGTTTTCCAGCAAAGCACAACTCACAGTACAATGGCAGACATACTGGTCCTCAGCTACCTAGCAGGACACTTAACTACCCTGCATGTTTGTCTAGTTTAGAAACCCTCAACAAAGTTATATGTTACATGAATAGTGGCAATTATTTGGTAATTATAACAGATACTTCTATACATTCAAATAAAGATAATCTTGGAAACCAAGGGTCTATGTGTATGTGCACATGTAAGTGTATATTGTGTTTATTAGAGACCTCTTCTAAGGCAGAACTAAGGAGATGTTCAAAAAAAATTACCCACATTAGATATCAATGTTTTATCAAGGTGTTTAAAAATCATGCCAAACTATTCTTGAATAAAGTTTTGTATTCTCTCCTCAAATCCATTTGTTGAAAACTTAACCCTAAAAGATGACAATAGCAGGTGAGACCTCAGGCAGCTGATTGGGCCATAAAGGTAATGAAGGATTAGTACCCCTATCAAAGGGACCCCTGGGCATCTCATGAAACTACCAAAAAGGCAGCTGTCTGTAACCCAGAGCAGGCCCTCAACAGACTTACCTCACTTTGTTGGGACCCCGACTTGAGTTCTAATCCTTCGACTGTAAAAAAATAACTTTTTATTATATATATATATATATATATATATATATATATATATATATATATATATGCCACTAAATCTCTAGAAATTTGCTATGGCATACAGAACCAAATAAGACAGTTTTCTATGAAGCAAAGTATCAGTAGATACCATGTTTATTTACAGATGAATCTTTTGTTGTTGTTTAGACAGAGTTTCACCATTAGCCCAGGTTGGCCCTCACACTTATAAGCTTCCTTGCCTTGGCCTCTCAGGCATATCCCATCATGTCTGGAAGTCAAGAGATACTTCATTTTTAATATAAAATATACACACATAGGTAATATGTATCTCTCTATAACACACATATAATATGTAATCACATATAGGATAGCATGAATGCAAAATGCTACCAACTGATACATCCCAATGAAATCAATGCATGCTCATTGCACCTTTTTCTACAGATTTGAACTTTTCAACAGAAAAAGTTGAGTGAAACTATTGTCTGACACTGTGCTGTCAATTTTTCAAGAGCAAAGAAAGGCAATCATGAGAAAGAGCAAGCTTCTGGACCTAGCAGTGCCCATGACCCAGCTGTCTAAGTTGGAGTTTTTATTGCTGTGACAACAGCACCAACAGTACTTGGGAGGGAAAAGGTTTATTTGGTTACTCTTCCATATCATAGTCCATCATTGAAGGAAGTCAGAACAGGAACTCAAACAGCACAGGATCCTGGAGGCAGGAGCTGATGCAGAGTCCATGGAGGGGTGCTGCCCACTGGTTTGTTCAAGATGGCTCACTTCCCATGACTTGCTCAACCTGCTTTCTTATAGAACTCAGGTCCACATGCTCAGGGATGGCACCACCCACAATGGGGTTCTCCTCCCCCATCAAGCATTAAGAAAATGCCTTACAGGCTTGCCTACAGCCCCTTCTTATGGAAGCATTTTCTTAATTTAGAGGTCCCCTCCTCTCAGAAGACAGCCTGAATGTCAAGTTGACATAAAACTAGCCACCACACCAGCCTTGCCCACAAACCAGCAGCATGCCCCTCCATCTGGTCTCCTACAGAATCTTGATGGCATCTTCACATGGACTTTTTTTTTCTATTCTGTGATCTTTGTATCTATGTTTATGACAGTACCATGCTAGGTATTCTGTTTTGTTTGTCTGAGACAGGGTCTCAATGTAGACCAGGATGACATGGAATTCACAGGGATCTACCTGCCTCTGCTTCCCAAGTGCTGAGATTAAAGGCAAGTGCCATCATACTTAGTGACCAATGCTTTTCTTATTATCATTACTGTGGCTTTGTAGTATAAATTGAAATCAGGTATGGAAGTACCTTAGCATCATTATTCTTTTTGCTCAGGACTGATCTGGCTATCTGGTATATTTTGTGTATCCATGTGAATTAATTTTTTTTCTATTTCTGTGAAGAATGAGGTTTTGACTGGGATTGAACTGAATGTACAGATTCATTTTGGTAAGACAGTCATGTTCACAATATTAACTCTATCAATACATGAACATGGAGATTTTTTCATTACAAATCCAAAGTCAACCTAAATGGACCTTGTCTCAAAATAAAATTGAGTACTGTATTCAATCTCTACTATCCACCCCAGCACATAAAAGAGGAAAATATGGAAGAAAAGCAAGTTTTGCTTGGATGTGGTGGTATGCATCTTTAATATCTAGAAATGGGAGGCGGAGGCAAGAGGATTGCAAGAGGAGGCTAATGTGGATATAATAAGACTGTGACTCAAAATCAGTCTACAATAAAATAAAAATACCCCATGACCTAGCAATCCTTTTAAAGAGAACACTAAAGGACAAAATTACAATTTAGTATCTTAAATGGCTCTACTCTCTGCTCTAGAACTGAGCTACATTTCATTCCTTAAAGAAGGGCAAATGCTCTGAAAACTCAAGAAAGGCATCTGGTTTCAAGGACAGAGGAAGACTTAAGAAGGAAATAAAAGCCAAAAGTGAACCACTCATCTCAAAGTTATTTTCCTTGTCAGAAGGGAACAGGAGACAGAAAACAAGAAAAAAGCTGATGTGGTAGCTTTGGATATTCTACATTACTTCATTTAAGAATGAACACAGAGGGAAATGTCACTCTCATGCCAACAGAAAACGGCCTGTTGAAGGAGTATGGCTAGTCCCTCTCTGACCCAGGTCTCTCTGAAGGTGAGGTAAGCAGCAGGCCCTTTGCTTGGTGATAAACCTTAGCATGGTTGACTCCATTTTGCCTTGTTAGTCCAGCATAGAAGCTTGGTCCAAACAACTGTCCTGTGATTTCAATTACCAGAAGTGAGCAGTTGTATGCACTGGAAGAAAATAATGTTCACAGTAGACTGGGTATAGTAGCTCTAAACTGGAGGGGAACTAAATACCTACAGGATAGTGGAATATCATGTATTGCACCCACAAAATGGGATACCTGAATAACGCTGCCAACCCCTATCATACTACCACCTCTTGGTTGACTCTCAGAAACAAAGTTGAACAAAAGAAGCATCAAGATAAAACAAGTACTGTGTGATCCCACTTGCATGAAGTTTAAGACCAGACAAAGCTAATCTGTGTTGACAGATGTCAGCACAGGGAAGACCAGGTGGGCCCAGGGACAACTGGTAGACATTAGAATTTCTACAGCCTTGTTACCATCCTCCCCTCCCCAGCCATCCAGCCATCTCTGAAGTGAACTGTCTACTGTATCCTTTCCCTCCAGCATCTTTATATAATGTGAGGATGGAGGGAGGTAGCCAAGAGGTGCCTTATATCTCCCATTCAAAGGTCTAAAGATAGAGAGGGAAGGTACTTGCTACTAAAGAACCTCATCTGTACTCAAACCAGATCTTATTGGACATTCAGTGGTGTATCAACCAGATGAGACTGGAATAGTTTGTTCCTCAGTAGCAGAACACAGGAGAGGGGCAGAGCTGACATTTGGAGCCTGTTAGCATGTCAAATAGAGACACATTGAACCATGTCCTTCCAACAGAATGAAAGTAAACCACATGGGTCTCATGCCAAAAGCAGCTTGGGGAGGAAAGGCTTTATTTCAGCTTAAAACTCTCAGGTCATATTCCATCACCTAGGGAAGTCAGGGCAGGAACTAAAGGCAGGAACTTGGAGGCATAAACTGATGCAGAGGCTATGAAGGGGTGTTGCATGTTTGCTCCCCATAGCTTGCTCAGCTACCTTTCTTATACAACCCAGGACCACCTGCCTAGGAATGGTATCACCCACAGAGAGCTGGACCTTCTTCCTACATCAATCATCAATCAAGAAAATAACCACAGACTTGCCTACAGGCCAATCTGATGGATGCATTTTCTCTATTAAGGTTCCATCCAGCTTGTGTCAAAACAAACAAACAAATGAACAAAATTAACCAGGACATTGAGTTGTGGTTTTCCATCTTGGAAAAGGGTGAAAAATCCCACTGGAAGACAGCATCATTCTCTCTAGTTATTCTATATATTATATAAGACACATAATTGAAAAATTATTAGAAGAGGAAAGAATCAAAATCACACGACTGAAAATTAGGGCTACAACTATCTGAAGTTGCTAGGTATAGTGGCACTTCCTGTAACCTCAACACTTGGGCAGGGGGGCAGGAAAAATCAGGAATTCAGCCATCCTTGGATATATAGCAAGTTCAAGGCTAGCCTGAACTATATGAATCCCATTTAAAAAAAAAAAAAAAAAAGAGTTAAAAAAAAAAAACAACATAAAAAATTAGCTGAGTTCATTGGAAGTTCTTTTATACATGCTGAGACCAATTACTTCACACAAGGGTATCAGAATTTAAGGGGCTCAGCCCTTACCTTGACATTAGAGACCCCTGGGGTTGTGTATTTAAATGCTTTCCAATGCAGCAACCCACACAATCAGACTTGGGCCTGATCATCAGCCATGTCTGTCTTGCATCTATAAAAGATAAGAGAGCCCTTTAAGACCACTATAAAGGCTTTGTGTTTATTCTCCATGGTCCACACTCAACCCAGAGCTTCAGGTACCAGGGCTGTGCTGACATCTAAGCAAAGAACACAAGACAGGAGCAGTGGGTAGTCATTGCCACCCACCAAAATCTCCAGACGCCTCAACAACCCTTCAGGCCTCACTCCCTTGCCCCTGATCTACTGCCTTATAGTGACTGTCCTTATTGGAAGGAACACAGGCTAAGTGCTACCCCAGAGAGTCAACCTCAGTCTCCATAGGCACAGTGCCAGAAGGGAAGGAAGAGAAGGAAGAGGCCCAGCACATGTGATGAATGCACCTTTCCCCAGAAAGGCCCTGAAGAAAGTGATCCCTTGGATGAGAGTTAATGAGAAACAAGCAGGAGGAAGACATGCTCAGAACAGGAGTTCAGAATCCCAGACATGAAGACAGCAGCCAGCATGGAGAAGAACAGAAGGAGGTGCTAAGGTGGACATGAGGTCACAGAATGGAGCATGAAGGTAAGACTGGAGTATTGTCTTCATAACAGATCTGAAGACAAATTTACTGAGTCAACTGCAGCCTCTGCAAATGAACTGTAGGCAGCACGGCAGTCTTTGGGGGGGGGTGTCCGAGAGTGATCAGTAATCACAGAAATCAGGTAGTAAAACTAGGAAGAGCATGCCTCACTCACTGCTCACTGCTCAGTATGTTCTGAGAAATGCACTGAAGGACAGTTCGACTGTGGAAACATCTGAATCCCTTCACACAAACTAAGGTAACAACAGGAACCAACCATAAGGCCCACTATATTCTAAACAAAACACTCTTAAGGGATCACCACAGATATGTCAAGAGCAAGCCGCAGTACAAGGCTATAATTGTTACACAAAAGACTAAACAGGGGAAGGCTGGAAAATTACTTCCAGCAGTCCAAATGGCCCATCTCTGAACAGTATCTTCGAAGTCCTAAGCCTGCAACACAGAGCATGCTCAACCTCAGGGTGTCAATACAACTTCATCTCCTCCTGGAGATGTCTGGTCACCTGGTGGTCACACTGTAGTGAGCAGATGCATTGAGGCCCATTAGCCACCTTTGAGAAGCAGTGCCCCTCAGAGCATTCTCGGCCACAGGAGATGTACACTCAGTAGACCGCTAATGTTCCACACCCTTACAGACCTAGGGCAACGCCTGTATTTTATGAAATTCTAGAAAGTAACCCATCTCCATGTCAGAATCTGACATTTTATAGTAATATATGATAGTAATACAAATTCTTATAGTACTAAAATTTAATGGAAACACTTAATTATGAGAGAAGATAATAACATATAGAATGCAGATAAATAAGAATATTTCCCAAAACTAACTTACTCGTATGAAATCTGTAAGTGTATTATAAATGAAGGCCCCTCTTGGGAGAAAGAAGCAGCTTCCAGGGCTCAGGTCATGGAAGAAGAAAAGTTCTTGTTCCTAGATTGAAACAATAATTGCATTTCAAATTTCATCTCTTCTTAATGTTTACCATACCTGATGTGACAGTCATAAAATGTCATTTTACCCTCCCATCATCTATTACTAGGCATCCCAAAGTTCCTCAGTATCTATCCAGATATATAATGTATATAAAACAGCACATGTAAAATGATCACTTATATTTACTTAGCTTCAATTTGCTTTTCTGTTATCTTTTGTTATTTACTACTCATTTTTTTTTTTTAGTATAAATCAGTAGCTAATTGACTAAGTTTTCATCCAACATTTATACATAGGTCTCATGTAGGGATAACATAAGATAAAAGGTCCATTGCAGAAGGTGGGTTTCAAGTGATGTGACCCTTCCTATGGTGCCAACCCCTGAGAGTCTGCGCTGTGCATGGAGTGTCTCCTAGCAGCCCTGTCAACTACTCCTCACAACAAATGTGGATAGCTTCATAAATGAATATTTGCCCATCACATGACATAGCTCAATCCTTGAAGGATGGAGATGAAAATCCCTACTTTATTTTTATATCATGAAAAAATAAACTCTCACAAGAGCTTTTAAAATGCTAACAAAAGATAAGAGGACGTGATGGGAAATGCCATTATGTATATATGTTTCTCATACTGGTTAATGAATAAAGCACTGTTGGCCAATAGAAAAGCAAGATAGGTGGGACTAGGAGACAAGGAGGAAAGAGGAAGTAGGAAGGAGGAGTCAAGATGGAGAGACTGGGGAGACGAGACACTGGCCCCTTTCCCTGGTAAGAAGACCATGTGGAAATATTAGATTAACAGAAATGGGTTAATACTTAAGACATAGCTATCCGAAACAAGTAACGGACCAACAGAATTATATCTAATACAGAGTCTCAGTGTGTTAATTGGGGTTGGCGCGGCGGTGGGACAAGACCAGGCGGTGGGCGGAAAAACCTGACTCCTTACAAGAATGGGAACTGGTTAGCAGACTTTTGGAGTGTGGATATGGTAGAACTCAGCTGCAGGCAACAAATATCAACAGAACAGACCATAAAGAGAGAAGAAGAAATATTACTCTTAAGATTTTGGTTTGTGAGGGACAGTCATGGGCAACAAAGGCGTGTCTGGGTGACGATGGTGTGGGTATACCTTCCCGATTTTCCTGTGGTCCCGGCTCTTGGCTTCCTCTTGGAACTTCTCCCAGCCCTTCATCATTTTGCTATCAGGAAAGGATATTCCATAGATCCTCTGCAATGTTTCCATCTCAGGATTGCCTTCCCAATATGTTGAGGAATTCTAAACATCAGCAAGATACTGTGTTTTATTTTTGTTGTTGTTTGTTTGTTTTGTTTTTTAATCAAACATTTGACAGTAACACCACTCTACAATGTGAATGCAGTTTTCTATTATGGCATACACAATCCTCAGATACAGATTTTGTAGTGCTCAGAAGAGTCTTAAATTGAGTCTAATAAAAAAAAATTTTACATCCAAATTATAGCACTAATCATCAAATTTCATAAAGTCCCCTGTGGCTTCTAGGAATGAAAGTGACAGAGAACAGGAAGGAGGGACGACTAGGGAGCAGCTGTGATCACCAAGCTGGAACCAGAAAAGGCCAGAGGTTCATGAAGTGTCAGCCGCTCTGGTCTATGGCTTGAAGTGAAAAGCATCAGTGGGTGGTGGATAATTAAGACCCAGGTCCAGAAAGAAAACCAAGGTCCAGAAAGGCTGGGACCTCAAAGTCAGCTCTGCTGCTTATGATTGCTAGGGCAGGGTTCCACCCCTTCTGCCTTTCTTTTCTGCCTGTGGTGCATTATTCTCACATGCAGAAAGATGCTCTTATTTTCTCTTCATTGGGCAATCTAGAAACTCTACTGCACAGTTGTCCTTGGTGTCTGCAGAGGTTAGTTCTACCTCCTCTACAGACACCTCAATCTGCAAACGAGTATCTTAAATAAATGATGCATTTGCACATAACCTGTGCAAAGTGCTGTATACTTTAAGCCACCTCTAAAGTACCAAATGCAAAATAAATGCTATGTATACATCCATTTTGATGTGCTGTTTAGGAAATGATGGCATCACTACCACCCCACCCCCACCATCCCCAACCCCCATGTGCATAGTCGTCTATACATGCTCAACATAGGCACAATTTGTTTTTCAAATATTTCCATCTGTCAGTTGATTAAATCCATGAATGTGAAACCTGTGAACACAAGGACATCTAAATAAGGAACAGTATATTTAAAAACTATATAGAGGATTAGAGGGATGGCTCAGTAGGTAAGAGCATTTGCTGCTCTTACAGAAGATCTGAGTTCAGTTCCTGACATCAGGCAGTAACTTCAGCGATCTGACAATTCTGGTCTCTGCAGGGACACAGACACACACACACACACACACACACACACACACACACACACACACAGACTCACAACAAAGATAAATCTTTAAGAAACAGCCATATAAAAAGATATGCATTATAACATTTAGAATAAGATTAAATAATCAAAAGCTACATAGTGTTTTAATTATCAAGATTATAAAACATTTCCTTTAGTGAAATAAGAATGAAGAATTTAAAATACTATCATGTTCAGACTAAAGCAGACATAGTGAAATCCCTTATGTAGTTTACCTTGTTTGTTATATTTACAAATTTTAAAAAAATCCTTACCTTGAAAATTTTTATGGCTTTAATTTTTCCAGTGTGTCTTACATGGGGGCCTTTACAAAGGTCAATTAATGGACCACACCTATAATGAGAGATTTAAGACATACCCAGAATGTTAAAGATTTTTGGACTGTTCATTATAGACCACATTATCATATTGTCCCAGTTAGCATTAACTGTCAATTTGACACAGCCTAGAATCACCTGAAGCAGTGTCTCAATTGACTAATTGTTTTTATCAGGTTGGTCTGTGGACTTGTCTTGATTGTCTTAATTGACACAGCAGGGCCCAGCCCAGCATGGAAAGCACCTTCCTGGGCAGGTGGTCACCAGCCATGTAAGAAGCTAGCAAAGAACAAGTCAGGAAGCAGGGTCTCTCAGTCTCTCCCTTGCTCATTCTCTCCCTCCCTTCCCCATCTCTCTCCCTCCTTTCTTTCTTCCCTCCCTCTCTCTCTCCTTTCTTTCCTTTCTTCCCTCTCCCTTTGTTTTCATTTTTGTTGGTTAGTTTGTTTTTTGAAACAAGGTCTCTTTATGTAGTCCTGGGTGTCCTGGAACTCTATGTAGATCAGATGGGCCTTGAAGATGGAGCTCTGCCTGTCTCTGCCTTCCTTCTTCGTGGTTTCTGTTTCAAGTGCCTGCTTGGGTTCTTGCCTTGACATTCTTCAGGGACCCACTGAACCAGGGATAAGCCAAATAAAGCACCTCCTCCACTCACCTGCTTTTGCTCGGCCTGTTTTATTACAGCACAGGAAGGCAGCCAGGACACAGGTTTTAGGGAAAGACTTACTCTTTACATGTGTGGGGCACACTTTAACTCAGGGTCAGTGAGAGGAGGGACCCATCAAGCCTCAAATCGCTCTCTCTGTGCAAATCCAAACACCTCACGAACTTCTGAAGACACTATGTATGTAGAGACATCCTTGTAAACTGTCCCATCACTGTGATAAAGCCAGAAAGTCACACTCTGTTCCCAACCAGGGTTCAGGGCAGTTCCTGCTAAGCTCCAAGACCCCACTGAGCCTCTTAAAACTGGTACACACAAACCTGTAGACAGTGGTTGTTGGAGTGTTGACTTTCTCCTTCAGAATCCGGCATTTAAATTTATTGTACTACAAAGAAAACGTTCACATATTATTACAAAATTTTTCTAATGGGGAAACTATTCTTTTTTTTTTTTTTTTTTTTTTTTTTTCTTGTGGTTTTTGCAGACAGGGTTTCTCTGTATTGCTTTAGAGCCTGTCCTGGAACTAGCTCTTTAGACCAGGCTGGACTGGAACTCACAGAGATCCACTTGCCTCTGTCTCCTGAGTGCTTGGGCTAAAGGTGTGCACCACCAATGCCTTGGAAACTATTCTTTTTAAGAAGCTCTGAGAGACACTCTACTCTGTTTGAGGTGTTGGACACTATGGACATGCTGTGCTCACAGCAAAGAGGCACACAGTCCAGTACGAGACCCTAGAGTCACATGATTGGTAAGCTCTCACATATGACCATGCCATGAGTATAAACACACAGAACCACAGATTTTTTTTTTATATCAACTATGTGTTTAAAATTAATTCCATCTTTGTTTTACTCTTAAAGTGTAGCTGTCATGTGATTCAAGGTTATACACTTGGCACAGATTCTATTGGACAGCATTCTTCTAGAAGATCCCATTTTAACTACATAAAGTAAATCCAATTCTTAAGGCACATTTCCATTATTACAAAGTTTATACCACATCACTTCATTTGCTAAAAAGCCATGGTATCATTACAGTTAGCAAACTAGGGTAATTTTCTCTGCTTTCATTGTAATAATTGCAGTATCAAGTATTAATTCATATTAAATAACTAAAAACAGCTATCGGGAGAAAAAAAAAACACATTTGTACAATGTAACTGTTTCATCCCAGTATGTTCAAGTCAAGGCATTCTCCTTCACAAAAGCTGGTATGGTTAGTTTTAGGAGCAGCTGAAAAGTCAAGGCAGCTAGCAGAACGGAAGTAACATCTGTAATAGACTGATGGTTACAGACTGACACCAGGAACATGTAAGTTGTTATAAAGCAAACCAAACCACAACTAAGTCCACTCTCATTCAAAGACAGCTAACAGGCCTTAGCAGACTCCAAGGAAGGTACACAGTATGTGCACTATAAGAAGCTCGGCTTCATTATGTCCTAAGGAAAGTGCAATGAGACACTACTTCACACCCAATGAATGGGTGCCTTAAAAACAAAAGCCAGAAAACTAGTATGGGAGAGAATGTGGAAAAACTGGGTAGACTATAAATGGTGAGACTGCCCTGGAAAATGCTGTGGAAGGTCCTGAAAAATTAAAACTGAAGTACCCCATGATGCAGCAATTCCATTTCTGATATGTATATTATATAAATATTATACATAATCAGCATTTCAAACAAATCTTTATGTTCACATTCATATCAGTGTGTACACAATTGTTAGAATATAAACAATTCCAGTATCTATGGGCAGATGAAATGACAAACACAAAGACACACACACACACACACACACACACACACACACACGGAAGAGGTTATTATTTAGCCTTAAGAAAAAAAGAAGAAAATTCTGACACACTCTGCAATACTAGTGACTCCTGAGGGCCTTACAGTGAGTGAAACAAGCCAGTCACAAAAGTAAATAGCAAGTGATTCATTGAACTGAGGTTCTTATCAAATTCACAGAATAGTAAGCAGAGGGCTGCATGCCAGGGTGGGCTGTGGAGGAAAAGGAGAGTTGGCCCTCAATGGTAGAGTTGTCACTCTGGAAGACGAAATCATCCTGTGAGTTGATAGAGCTGATGTTTTCATATATACTTAATGACACAGAACTGTGTATTCAAAAATAGTTAAAATTGTAATGTTACTGTGGTAATGTGAATGTAAGTGGCTCCTATAAGCTCATAGGGAGTGGCATTATTAGGAGGTGTGTCACTGTGAGGGCTGGCCATAAGGCCTCCCATGCTAAACTACACATAGTTTAGACCACTTTCTGTTGACTGCAGATGACACTGCATGACATCATGTCACACACTATGATGATAATGGACTAAACAACTGAAACTATAAGCCACCCCAATTAAATTTTTTCCTTTGTAAGAGTTGCCATGGTCATGGTGTCTCTTCGCAGCAATAGAAACCCTAATACTGTTACTTTCACATATTTTACCATACAAAAAGTAATAATTGTATCTTTAACCCAAACCACCTAGCTCTTAAATTCAGTCCCCTAAACTGACATTGCTGTATTTTCAAAGTATGCATTTTCTTTGATATTGTATTATTTAAAAAGAAAAAAAAAATCTAATTTATTAAAGTACATTGGTTAAAAAAAAAAATAAAAAAGGCACCCATAAAGTCTTATGCAAGCCACTCCACGTTAAATATTTAAAACAAACAAGAAGGTTAATTAAGAGCTCAGAGAGGGGCTTCTGGAATATTAGCTTAGCATTCTGCTCTTGCAGAAGACCCAGGTCTGATTCCCAGTGCTCACATGGAGACTAACAACTGTCTGTAACTCCAGTTCCAGGGGATCCAAATCCCTCTTCTGGCTGCCACAGCCATAGCATGCACATGGTACACAGACATACACACAGGCAACATGTACACACATAAACAAACAATTCAAAGGGAGGGAGTGAAAGAAGACAAAGAGGATTTTGTGTATATATTTTGAGGATTATAAATATATATTTTTGAGAGCAGTGGTCACATTTTTTAGTTCATGTGTTAATTAGCCATACTTTCTGCTTTAGAATTAAGCAACACTTCATTCTCCAAGAAGATCAGTAATTCCAGCATTGCAATAGTAGGCATACTCCAATATGATCAGACCTATAAACATACATGAAAATTACTCACCTGGTCTTTACCTGCCTGAAATGTCTCAGGAAACAAGAGGGAAATGGCAGAGCAAGTGAACATTGACACACTTCCAACAGCTCTGCAGACTGCACGTGTGACTGCTGACACCCTCATAACAGCTCTGCAGACTGTACATGGACCACTGACACTCTCACAACAGCTCTGCGGGCCATACATGTGACTACTGATACCCTCACAACAGCTCTTCAGACTGTACAACCAGCAACTGGTCAAGTGTTTTGAGATATTTGATCGAACCGTGAAACTCTGATACTGTGTTAATAAAATTATCAGGGGGTGGATCCAAAGAACAGTTGATAAGAATTAGCCATGGAGAGGATGGAGGAGTCAGGAATATGGATAGAGAGACACAGGAAGGAGTAGGGAGGGAGGGACTTAGAGATTTTAGGATGAGTGAAGAGATGCTTCTCTTGCTGGGTCTCTGGCCAAAAAAGATCAGCTAGTTGCTTCTTAGTTTCTCTGATCTATCAGGTTTTCACCCCAACAAACAGCTGCCAAGTCTTTATTGGTAAACAGAATAATAGAGACTAGTTGCAAAGTGGTGCCAGTAGGATCAGAAATCCAGCCAGGCTATAGTCTGAGCAGGGTGACTATAGGGCATAGACAGTGTTAAAATGTCAATAGATTCAGGTGCAGCCTCTAAGCCAACAGAAAATCAACAGGGAAGAAAAGGCTAGTCTATGTTAATAGCTTTTACTATTCCTTCTTAGTGAGAGAATTTTATGCTGTTCTCCCCAGTACCTTAAACATTTCCAGGAGTGAGTCCTTTCTGGCTTCCATTCTTTCAAAGGGTTGCTTCTCTTTGATGATAGTTTTACATATGTTCTCCAGGGCAGACAACTCACTGCTGGACACCACTCTAAATACCAAAGAAGAAGAGACCTGAGCTTAAGTATGATCTTCCAGATGCCATCCACCTCCTCTACCTTGGTCCTGTGCCCGTCACTGCTAATCGACACACCTGCTCAACTGTGTTAGTGCTTTAGGCACATACTTTTGTTCAGAGAGCTGTATGATGGGCTCCCCATATCCTTACCCTCAGTGTGGCTGGTAGGAGCTAGCCTCAGAGGAAGGTATGTGTGAGCAGCATTAGGAAGGTTGAGAGTCACTGTCAGGTAAACATCCAGAAAACTCTTGTTGCCTGCATGAAACTGGGGGTATGATAACAAGAGAGGGCACTATATATACTACTTCGATAAGAGTGTCTTGATCAGCAACCACGCCTTCACTGTACTAATAGCATGAAGGAGACCTCCAGAGACTAAGGGATTACTAGAGGTGGGGGGCGTTAGCCCCAAACCCCACTCTAGAAAGCAAGAAGGGATGGAGAAAGAGTCTATCATCAATGGCCAGTGATTTCACTGAATATGTGTATGTTACAAAAACATCCATGAAAAATCACTGAACAACAAGGCTCCAAAAGCTGCCAAGCAGGTAGTACAGCCCAAGAGACATGGGAGACACCATATTCTTCCTGGCAGCTCATTTGTACCCCTTGGAATGGCCATAATAAATCAATAGTTTTCTATCAGCTAGTCTACCAACTCCTGAACCCAAGTAGTGGGTTGTGGGTCGGACATACAGAAAGCTTCCACTTGTGACTGGCATCAGCAATGTGGCAGCCTTACAGGACTGAGACTTGAGCTGAAGGTCTGGGTTAACACCTAGTTGGTATCCAGAAGGCTAGAGAATCAGTTGTTATGTGAGGAAACCAAACAAAACAACCAAGATAAACAAAAACCTCATATATTTAGGGTTCAAGCATTATAAATAAACATACTCTAAACCTTCCTAATGGTTCCACCCTTTAATAAAGTTCCTCACATTGTGGTGACCCCCAACCATAAAATTATTTCACTGATACTTCATAACTGTAATTTTGCTATTGTTATGAATTGTATTGTAAATATCTGATATGTGACCCCCAAAGGGATTGCATCCCACAGTTTGATGCAACCCATAGGCTGAGTACCCTCTAAACTTACAGGTAAAAACAGTTCAGACTGGAAATGACTATGAGAAATAGTGACATAAGCCAGGTGTGATGACACATGCCTTTAATCCCAGCATGTGGAAGCAAGCCTGGTCTACATAGTAAGTTTCAGGCCAGTCAGGGTTATATAGTGAGACTGTATCTCAAAAACAAATAAACAAACAAAAACTAAAAACAAAAGCCCCCACTACATAATGCCAGATATGCTGTGAGAGACGTCATTACACAGAATGAGAGTGACAGGCAAAGGCAAGATGTTCTTCATTTGCCCAAGTAGGAGATGCTGTGAGTCTGCGTAGAGGGGAAAGAACGGTAGAAATGTTTAGGAGATAAAAATGGAAAACTAGACAGGGCTGCTAGATGGAGTAGTGAGGAGCATAGGGGAGTTTGAACCGGGCTGGGATACTAGATGGAGGTATTAGGGGGAACGGACGAATTAGAAGGACATAAGGTTTTGGTTTGTTCACTAGTGGTGTCCCTAGGAACCGTGAGGGATACAGAGCAGTGGTGGACGAGGGCAGGGCCATCATGCTGTGATTCTACACACAGACCTACTGAGTGTGAGACCCTGTGAGCCACCACCACCTGGCACTCAAGTGTGCAAGATGTTCGGCAAAGTTGACAGTGCCTCGACCATTGTTAGCAGAAGCAGACAACTGCTCTCTGGCATGGAGCACATGTTTTGGGTTTGAATTGGTGTCATGCTCTAGTAGGTATGTTGAAAGTTGCTCTCCAATCTAGGCTCATTTGAAAAATAATTTTGTTTGATAATTACACAATATACTGTGACTGAGCTATAACATGTAACCATAAAACAATGGCATGTACACATGCAAGCAGAACCCAGCACTGGGCAGCCTTACCTGTCTTCAATGAACATGTCGTAATAAAAGCCATTCTCAATGGGTGGGCCGTAGCACAGATGACCTCCATAGTAAAGTTCCATGGCCTCCCCTAGTATGTGGGCACTGGAGTGCCAGTACACCTGAAGGTGTGGACAGGAAAGCTGTTAGCTACCAAAACTCTCATGGGACATCAGGAGTAGGATAACATGTGGAGCAAGGGATGGATGTTGAGGGGATAAATACCAAGAATAGAGTCTCCACTGCCTGCTTGGATGGGAATGTCCCCTGCATCCTGGCAGTACTCCTGGAGAACTTGGTCTATCTCAGAGTTGCTTTGCTGAGCACTGCAGCCATGGTGCAGCTACTCCCCACTTTCCTCCTGTGCCCTTGACTGTTCAGAACCAGCCCATCCTCTCATGGTGCAGGCTTGGGGTGGGAGGGTACCAGTTCAGTTTCTCCAAGACAGCCGTCTGGACACAACACAGACAGAGAGCGGCTACTTGGGGATATTACCAGAGTCAGTGAGATTTCACATCTGCATAGCAGTCTCCTGCCATGCAGAGAGTTTCCATAGCACACGACTATGGAAGTTTGAGAAAGTTGGAAAGATGGCTCAAGAAGGAAAAGATAAAGCCAGGGAATGTTGCTGGGAGCTGGAGACCCCCGAGGAGTATAGGTTGGGCTAAATTACCATAGTCCAAGGGCAGGTTATCAGCCCCACAAATTCAGAAAGCTGACTAGGTTTCAAATTTCCAAAGAAATAGTATTATTTTAAATGTAACTAAGACAAACAAATTAGCTTAGTTTATAAAGAATTAATTTTAGTTTACTTGTGAATTAAAATTAACCAAATCACCAAATTAAATATAGATGCCAAAAGTGAATGATAACTGAGGCCCAGGTCAGAACTTTCACCTTTATTAAATAAAGGGGAAAGAGTACATTAACTACCATTCGATAAGTCAGAGCAGAAAGAGGTAGATGCAGAGATGTGTAATCCTAGTCTACTGCAACAGGCTGGTCATGCTCTGTGGACAGAGCCACAGGGCCATCCTTGCAGCAGAGCACCTGGACTCATGTGCTGCTGAAATAGCTGGCTGATCACCTGCATTGTCTCTGGGGCACTGCCCTTATCTAGATATTTGTTAAGCCAAACAATGAGATAGATACAGGGATATAGTAACTAGACGAGAACTGGGGACAGAAAATAAGCATGTATAACCAAGAGAGCTGGGCACATGGTGGAGTACACTGAGAAGGACAAACAGCAAAGGTGTAAGCTTGGTGGTTAGAATGAAGAATGCACTTACAAGGAGATGCCACTTAGCCATAACACAAACCGCATTTTTCAGAGTCACTTTTGAACACGGTTTTATTAATATTACACAGCTTAACAATTTTATGGTTATATTTGGTGTAGTAGTTTGAGAGAGAACTATCCCTCCAGTTGATAGTACTGTTTGGGAGCTTTCCGAACCTTTAGAAGGTGAAGCTTTGCTGGAAGAAGTACATCCCTGGGGCAAACTTTGAGAGCCTATAGCCTTGCCCAATTTCTAGTTTGCTCTCTCTGCTTCCAGCATGTGGATGGAAATGTAATCGGCCAGCTTCTTGTCCCAGCCACCTGCTGTCATGCCTCCCAGTCACAACGGACTGCCCCTCTAGATCCCTAAGTTTATTTAAAAATAAACTCTTCCAGAAGCTGCACTGGGTCAAGGTGTTTTAACATGGTAGCAAAAAACAACTAATAACCTTGGCATACTTTAATCAGAAATTATACAATTCTCATCATCCAGAAAGCATAATAATATAGCCTCAGTTAAACATAGCTGCGTTTTACAGAGGCAATAAGCCAGTTGAAAGGAGGTTACAAGTTAAGGTGTTATGCATATCAGAGACATGTAAAAATGTGGCACTTAATGTATGAAAAAAGTTCATTTTCAAGTATTTAAAGGATTTCCCTAAACTCTCCCATGGATATTAAATTACAGGTGCATACATTTGAGGGTTGACAAGAAATTCATTTTGAATATATACTGATTTAACAGCTAAGACATTTAACCTAAGGAAGTGATTATTTTAAGAGATTACAAACACGGGATACTTATTTGAGCATACATTCTACAAATATTCATTAGCTATCAATAAATGTCATGTTGTGATTTTAAATGTTGATAGGCTGAAAGTTTCATCACCTTTGATTTCAATGTGTGGCTTTCCCCATAACTTTATAAAGACCCCCTCTGGCTGATTGATTTTTAAATACTCACAGCCTGAGCTTCCTCATTGTCAAACATCAGTAGCTCTATAGTAGAATCCCCTTCCAACGGGCGGTCCAGGTCCCATAATTCACCATTCACTTTGGCAATCACTGTATTTTCAGCCAGTTCTTGACTAGTAGGAGAAAAGCCATTTGAGGTCAACATTTATTACATTATGATTCATTATAGGAAAAGCTTAAAATAATTTTCAGGACTTAAAAAAAAATAGCCAGAAAGTATAAACATGAATTAACAGGACAGAGATCTTTTATTTTGTAACAATTATTTTATGTATACAAGTCATATATGCTGTGGAATATATTATTTTAAGATGTGTTTCATTTGTTTATGCTGAGGAATAATTGTTTAGTGATGCAAAGATGTGTTGCATTCTTTCATGTTTCATTTGTTTAACTTTTTGAAGCTGTGTGCCTTTGCCTGTCTAAAATACCTGATTGGTCTAATAAAGAGCTGATCGGTCAATAGCTAGACAGGAGAAAAGGATAGGTGGGGCTGGTGGGCAGAGAGAATAAATAGTAGGAGAAATCTGGCAAGAAAAGATCAAAGAGCAGAGAAGGAGAAGAAGGAGAAGGAGAGGAGGACCTCAGGGGCAAGCCACCAAATAAGAAGTAAAGAAAGAAATGCAGAAATAGAGAAAGGTAAAAGTCCAGAGACAAAAGGTAAAGCGGATAATTTAAGCAAAGCAGGCTAGACACAAGCCAAGCTAAGACCAGGCATTCGTAAGCAAGACTAAGACTCTGTATATTAGTTGGGGAGTTGGGTGGTGCCCCCTCCAAAGAGCCAAAAGAGCAAAGAGTAAAAGAACAACCAACTACACATATATGTTTGCTATTTTTAAAACTTGAAAAATAAAGCACAAGTAATAAAATTAAAATCTTACTCCTTATTCCTAGAAGTAACTGTTTATAACACTTTGATACATCCCTCTAGTCTTTTTCTGTATCAGCTTCTCATCCATGTTAAAAAAGAAACTAGTTATGAACACAATTTTCTCAGGCAATCCTGAAGTGTTCTGTTTACTGAGGAACGCCTGGCTCTTACACTTTGGTTTCTTTCAGTTTTGCTCTCTTATGGAACTCATGCAGCCATCTAAGTACACACCTCCTCATGCCCCCATAAGTGCACAGAAATAGAATTCCAGGGTTGGGGCAGGCGCCTTCCCAAGATTTCTCATAAATATAGCCGAGTACACTTACACTTACCCTAAGTGATTTTTCAAGTCTTTGTCAGTGTGATATTGAGAACTGGTACTTTATTTCTCTGGTGATTAACTTTACTTTTAATGAATTGTTTATGTCTTTACCTATTTTCCACAGAGACCATCTTTCCTTCCTTCCTTCCATTTTAAAAAATAGCATTTATAGTTTGAAAACTACTGAGTAATAAAGTTATAAGAAGAAACCTAGATAGGGAAGCATGGGATGGGAGTGTGAGATAGTTGCAATCATATCTCTTAAAAATACTATTAATATATAGCCTTCTATAATCTTTTATACATACACCAATGTAAAATTTTAATACTACCCTTTTACCTATATTACTTTGTAACCCACTTCATATAGTTAACAGTAAATCATGGCACCGTCTTCATCTGTAGACAGACTTCCAAAGCAAATTATCCAATCATTACATGAGAACCAGAACTTGTTGCTGGGCATCTTGGTTATATTTTGTGGGTTTTGGTTTGTTGTTGCTGTAATGAACATTCTTGAACACATATGCTAGTAGCCAATTCTTTTCTCAGGAAAAAAAATTCAAAGTAAAACTGTGATGTCAAGGGCAATGAACTGTTAATGGTTTATGTCAGACTACAATGCCAAACTTTCCTAACAGCCAAGGCAGCAGAGACCCTTGCCACTGCTCTCAATCTAGGTGCTAGGAAATTGTATTGGCCTTCAATAAGGTTCTAAGAAACAGAGCATTGCCCCTCTAAAGATAGGGAAACCATTTTAGGGGAGAATGTTATACCCTCTAAAACAGCAACCCACCTTTGGGGGTAGAATGACCCTTTCACAGGGGTCACCTAAGATTACTGGAAAACATAGATATTTACATTATGACTCCTAACAGTAGCAACATTACAATTATGAGATAGCAAAAAATAATTTCATGGTGGGGGATTCACTACAACATGAAGAACTGTATTAAAAGGTCACAGCATTAGGAAGGTTGAGAAACCACTGCTATAAAGGAAGGATGGTTCTCTATCATCAATGCGGATGGTGGCTCTTGAAGACTGATGCTTTCTTTCCAAGGTGACTTGGTAAAAGGCTGCACTCAAAACACCCCAGACAATCATCATGACATCCTACTAAATGAACTTGCACAATATGCAGTTATAGATGGAAATACTCAAAAGCTAAAGGACTTATTTCTGTCATTGGGGTCTCAGGCTCACTCTATATGTGGTCTGATAATGCAGCATGGCATGAACATGACCAGCCTCTCCAGCTACTCTGTAACATGTGGTCATTGAAGATGCCTGCAGCTTATAGCACCCAAAGCAATGCAGGTAGGTGAACCTTCTCAAAGACGTAAATATCTTCCGACACGTCCGGACACCTTCTCTAGGGGAACAAAATCTACCCCATGCAGAGTAAAACAAATTTATTCTCTAGAATAAAACTTCCAAGTTCCTGCAGCTTCGAGATAACCTTGAACACCTTCTACCTGCAAACTCCTGAATAACACAGAAATTCTCTGAGAAATAAACAAGGATGCCTTACCTTTTTAAATACAAAGGTAAGTCCCATGTACAAATCTATCAGTAGCTGTAACCAGCCTTTTGTGTAGTTTTCATTCTTCTTTTGCCATTGTTAGTAGAAAATACATACTCAGTGCTTACACCCTCACATCACTTTCCTTTTACTGCATTCTGGATACACTACTCTTTTACTGGATTCCCTCTTAAAATTGTGTGTGTGTGTGTGTGTGTGTGTGTGTGTGTGTGTGTGTGTGTGTGTTGCCACATTGTTGATATATAACCAAGGGATCTCACCCTTGGGAACAAGATTGCTCTCTAGGGCCAATTGTGGCCATGGTTTTGTGATTCTTACCCTTTGGGGACCATTGTTTGGCACAACTATGTTATTCTTCTTTGGCCAGGTGTTTGTAGCACCCTTGTAAAATGTGTGTCTTCTGGGTTACATCAGTTTCAGACCCGACTCCTTGGGATGCAGGGGTTCCAGTAAATCCCCACTACATCCTAGATTCTCTGCAAAATTAGAATAGGGTGAGAGTTTCCCTGTTCTTCCAGGCAGGGGCTATGCCCCTAATCACTGTGTAAGCAGTTACAGAAAATGAATCATTCTCTTTCAGCTTCCCCAAAGGGATCTCTGGGACCACAGCTCTCAGGTGGTGACTGAGGCAGGAGTGTAGGGTGGAGTGTGAGGTGTCTGAAGGCCAGGCTATGAATTAGCATGTGGAAACCTGCTGAGTAACTACCACCAAGGACAGTGGAGAAAGGCCATTGACTCGATGATCCAAAAGCCTATGTGTGACAGGGATTTAAAAGTTTTATTCTTGTTTCCATACTGTGTTTGCCACTGGGTGTCTAACCTTTCTCTCAGCTCTGTCCATGTCTCCCTCCTTGGAAGTGTACTATTTGTTAGTAAACATGTGTGTCATGGTCCAGTGCTTTGCTCTTGGACAAAAGAATCTGGAAATGTGGCAGGTGTCCATCAGGCTCCAATACTTTCCAATAACACCAGTGTGGTGGCTCATCTTGGTTGTCACATTGATACACCCAGAAGAGGGGACCTCAGTTGAGGTACTGCCTCCATCAGATTGACCTGTGGTATGTCTGTAGGAGGGTCCAGTCCACTGTGGGCAGGTGGACCTGGGCTGTGTAACAAAGGTGGCCAGCAAGCCAAGGAAGAGCAGAACCTTCTCCATGGTCTCTGCATTAGTTCCTGCCTCAAGTTCCTGGGTTGGCTTCCCTTCACAATGGACTGTAACCTGTAAGTCAAATAAACCCTTGCTTCTTTCTTTTGCTTCTGGTAACCATATTCTTCATGGCAACAAGAAGCAAATAAAATGAGCAGGAATTTCCATTAATCAAGATTTCATAATGTATCCAGTTGGTAGGAAGGACGATTACTGTTCTATGACTGACAGGAGTGTCAACTTGTTTCTTTAAGTTACAACTTGAAAAACTATAAAATTTATGAAAATTCCTTGATGTGTGAATAAAATCAGGGTGGATGATATGTCAAGGGTACAAATTTTTTCATATATATATATATATATATATATATATATACATACACACACACATATATATGAGAAATTTTATATATATGTATATATACATATATATAAAATTAGAACTTTTAAAATGTGGACCTTTTACATAGGAAGAGACCATAATCCTGTATTCAATTACATGGTCTTTTTAGGAGTCAGAGGGAAATAGCCATCATACTTAATTTAGTTAGCTAGCCAAGTAAGAAAAATGGCCATGCCAAGCATCTTAAAGGTGCTGCCTGACAAAGCTCTACTGATGGACAACTTGGATGGGCCCTTCACTGCCCTTGGTGGAACTGGCTGCACACTCTTGCCTGTTCCTTTGTCATGTTTAATGTTTGAATTCCTTGCTGTTAAGAGCCCCTTGCCCAAGGCTACAGTTGGGACAATGTAACAATTCTTATAGAAGTCGATGTTAACAAGAATAAAACTTATGGTAGTTCCCTAGGAGAATCAGCTATGCATGAAGTTGAGTCTTCTATACAACCCATTACCTAGGTGGTGTTAGGAAGCATGAGACAGAGGATCTCGAGCAAATCACTAAAGAAAACATAGAGAAATCTTAGAAGCCGACAAACCATAAGTGAATCATTAGGTTTTCATGTACTGCCTCAGAAACATGGGAACTGCACGGATAGGAAGAGATTCTGATTATAAAACTAATGACAAGCCTTGGTACCCCCCTGAAGGCAAAGGAAGCAGTTTTAGGAATCTTAATGTTCTTTCACTCTGCAGGATTGTAATAAAGATAGAGACCATGGTGAAACAAGGGTTTATGACAAAGAAACTAAAGGGAATGTTCACGCTCAGTGAGCTACTGGCTTCCTGAGCAGCCTTGTCAGAAAGAACAAAGAGCAGAACAGGGTATTCAAAAGCCAAAGGGAAGGATGGTGCTCTTATGTCAGATATAAAACAGAAAAAAGGAAGGAAAAAAAATTAAACAAGGGACTGAGTGATTAGGTTTCCATAGAAAGATCAGATATTCATTACAGTTGATTAATAGGATAACACAGGAGAAGCTTGGTATAACAGAGTGGGAAATACCTTCTAATCTATTAACTTAGATAAAGTTAGCGACATCCTGTCTAGTCCTTTTGTTACCACACAGCTTCACAACACTGATTTTAAGGAAAAAGGCACTGAGTTAAAAATAACTGATTTTAGCATAGTGTTAGATTTTAGTTCTCATGAAATTTGCTGTTTGCTCATTTTGCTTCTTTTACCTTGTCATGTTTATGTAGTCAAGGAAGAATTTAGAAAAAGTATGTGGCATGAAAATACATTGTAATCAATGACTAAAGTCTATGAGGAAATGATTTTGTGTATAAATAAAGTTGGTAAGAGATGCAGGTTGTCAGAGTAGGTCAAGCCATACGGAGATGTGCTTCCTCTCTATCCACCTCCCATAAAATGAAACTAAGAAGTGTCCCGTGCCTGATTTCTCCATCTCCACCCTTTCATCCCCCTGCTTCAGACCCTGCCCTCATCCAGAACTGGACTCTAGCAGAAAAAAAAATTTTTAGTGGTGTCTAAGAAAATATTTCAGTGGGCTATAGTATATCCTCCCGAAATACATTCACAACAGATAGGGAGGGAGGCAGATAGATATACAAGGAGTGCGTGTTCATGGCTGTATGTGTGTGTATGTGGGTGTGAGTGTATGTGTGTATGTGTGCTTTTCATGTAGGTATATGTGTGTGGGGGTTTAATACATGTGTGTGCATATATGTATATGTATGGGTGTGTGTGTGGATATATATATGTGGGGGTATATGTATATGTGTGTGTGTGTATGTGTGTGTGTGTTTGGGTATATGTGTGTGTGTAGGTATGTGTGTGTTTGGGTGTATATGTGTGTATGTGTAGGTATGTAAGTGTGTGTGTTTGGGATATGTGTGTATGTAGGTATGTGTGTGTTTGGGTGTATGTGTGTGTAGGTATGTGTGTGTGTGTTTGGGTATATGTGTGTGTGTGTGTATGTAGGTATGTGTGTGTGTATGTGTGTGTATGTGTGTATGCATGTGAGTGCACACAAGCCATGCATGTATGTCTGTGTTTGGGAGGGTTCTTACCTAATCGTGGCTGCCACTTGATAAGGTGTCGTTCTCCACCTTTCCCCTTGCACTGTTTTCCCACCAGCCACTCTTACTGTAATCACGCTGCTTGTGCTCTTTTTTCCCAGAGTCGCAGGTAAGAGCTGATGATCTATCTTCAATGTTTCAAAAAGCTTCAATCTTTCTTTTATAAAATTCGGTTGCTTCGCCTGAAACTCATTAGCATACAGCAAGGTGAATGACTCAGCCCTCTGTCCACATCCCCTACAGCAGACCCTCCCCTCTTACCTAACTCCTTTCACAACTACATAGGCATCTCCCTTTCTCACTATTTACAGTATATTTAGGCAAGGCTATACAGTGTAGCACTTCTTATTATCCAACCCTTTGTCCCTCACGATTGGATTCTTAGATCTCCATGGATGCTCAAGTCCTTACTATAGTCGCATAGTACTGGAACATCTTCTTACATCCTCCCATATACTTTAGTCCTCTAGATTACTAAAAAACAAAATACAGCACTTGGAAAATAGGTGTTACACTGTACTGTTTGGGGGGTATTGTCCAACAAAGTCAGTGCAGAAGCATTCTCCCCAAGTATTTTTGTATCTACAAATCCACAAATGGGGAACATGTACATGCATACAGGGGACTGGCTGTGTCCTCTCAATCCACCTCTAGTTGTTTGTCCTGCATCTGTCTGATCTACATAGCTAGACCACTACCTTTGAGGGTAGGAGCTCCTCCTTTGTCCCTAACAAGTGCGAGTCTCTATAAACCCTTGCTGGTTGTTTTAATAACTTTTTTTTTTTTTTTTTTTTTTTTTTTGTCAGTAGGTAATTTGAAATCAGAACTGTAATTTCACCTTAAGAAGAATGGAGGGCACTTTAAATCCAGCCACTGGCTAGCTTGACTCTACATCAAGAGGTTACTGATGTGGCCCAAACAATAACTTCATTAGTAATTACATTCTTGCTCCAAGTCCTGGAGACCCATGTTTAAAATGACAGCAAACATTTTGAGTTGTTTCTATAGCAACAACTTACCTCCTTGTCAGGCTCACTCTCTTTTGGTCTCTTCTTTTTGGTGTCCCTTTCTTGGTTTTGAGCAGGAGGCTGAAAGACAAACCGCACATCAATGATAGGTAACAGCAATAATACATTAGCCCAAGGACAGAAGGAACCCAGGCAGCTCAGGGCAGGATCCCCATGGTTGGTTTGAGAGTCCTTGCTGGGAACCAAGACCTACTTATAACCCTCAAGGATCAAGTTTCAGGGTTCACCACTTTCTGTCCAGGGACATTAAACAGATTTTGACTTTAAAATGCTTCAGATCAAGAGCTTGGGATATAGCACAGAAGTAGAGACTTGCCCAGTATGCAGGAGCCCTGGCTTCCACACCCTGGACTACATACTCTCTGTCTCCGTGCCTCTCTGTCCCCTCTAAACTTTAAACAAATAACATCCCTGGGAAATGTGTGGCTGCCACCAGACTTTCAGAGTCCACCATTCATTAGATGTTGTCAGTGCACTTGGCAAAGAAAAAAAAAAAATCTCAGTTTTAGAAAGCCTTCAGAACTTAGAAAAGTTCTCTTATAATGTGTTATTTAATAATCTTATAAAACATGAAAATACTGTAAACAAATAACCCTGCTAACACATATAAGCCTTCAAAGTAGACTACCAAAACAAGACAGTAAAAATAGCACAGAACCAGCCAGCGGATAACAGAAATTGTTGGTCTTCTTCCCCCAAGGAGACCGTGAATTTCAAATTTTAAAAAGTTTTATTTGAGACAGTGTCTTGTCACATAGCCCTGGCTGATCTGGTGGTACTGGCTATTTACCCAGGCTGGCCTCAAACTCTCATTCTCCTGCCTCAGTCTCCAGAGTTCTGGATTCGAGGCGTGCACCTCAGTGGTTTCTGCCACTAGAGGGGAAAGTGTTGCAAGTCTATCCAACCAAGAGCTGAGAAATTACCCCAGCTGGACGGTGAGTTAGGAGGTTGGTGAAAACCTAGCGCTTCCCTGGGCCCTAGGCAGCGGTCAGGGCACTGGCGGGGCACACCCTGTTGTAGCCCTGCCTGCACCGGGGTGCAGAGTTGGAGACCCGCTGAGTGCTCCTGGGCGGCGTCCCCAGAAGCCTGCCCGCCCAGGTTACCTCCTGCGTCGCCACCCGCCTTGCCCCGGGGCCGCGCTGCTCCGCCAGGCGCAGCCGCAGGCCAGACAGGCGCTGGTGCAGGTCGCGGTTCTCTGCCCGGAGCTGTGCCACCTCGCGCGTCAGGCGCGGGCCCTCGGCTTGTCCCCGCTCCGGCCCTCGCAGCTGCTCGTCCCTCAGGCGCTGCACCTCCGCGCACAGCCAGCGGATGTCCTCCTCCTGTCGCTGCAGGCGCGAGGCCACGGCCTGAACCGCCAGGGCCTGGGCCGCCATGGCTGCCTCCCTAAGTCACCCGCGCCCGCAGCGGGCACAGCTAGCGTGACCCGGCGGCGGGGCGGGGCGGAGCCGATGGGCCTCGGGAGGCGGGGTCTATGGGAAAGCATCACTGCACGGGGCGGGGCGATGGAGGAAGAGGGGCGGGCCTGAGGCTGGGTATCACTGCATGGGGCGGAGCCATGTCTGCAAGACTCAGGGGGCGGAGCGATGGTTTCTGAAGAGGGGCCTATAAGGTGGTGGGGGTGGGGCCTGAGCCCGGCATCGTGAAAGGGCGGGGAGGTGGGAGGTGACGGGGCAGGGCAACATTACAATGGCGAAGTGGTGTGGCCGGCTGAGAGCAATGGGATGGCTGGGCAATACTTCATGAAGCAAGGAGAATGGGCAGGGGAAGGGGCCCACAGGCATCGACATGCAGGTTTGAGAACTACCCCTTGGCCTAGGTAGGTAGTTGGAGTGGGCCCACTGGAGGTTTCTCTAAGCGTTCAGAGGTGTGTCCAGGTGCTACTAGAAGTGTGCTCATTCTGTTGAAACTGGAGTTGGAGAAATTGAAGCACAGAGGAGGGATGTCTCTTGACCAAATCATCCAAAGTGTTGTCAAAGCCTGATGAGGTTCTCTTATGCCCCTCTTTAATTCTTGCAATCACCACAGTGTGCAAACAGGTTTAAAAAAAAAAAAAAAAAACGGCCATGTTGGGGGGGGGGTCGAAAACAACAAGAGACAGTGAACTCCTGAGGAATCACACCAATCTTGTCCTTTGGCCTCCATGTACACGTGCACACATATGCATACTCAAGACTAGGCACAACACACTATTTAAAATGAGAATAATAAAATACTACAAGCAGAAAGAGTACATGGATGTGAGAACATATAATAACAAACATCTACATAGACAAAAACAAAATGATGGAAGTTATCAACTAAAAGTTCTAGCCAACAAAATTTTAAAAAATGATAATATCAAAGAAAACTACACATAGTTAGTTGTTCCCCAATGTCCATGGGTAATTGATTTATGGAGAAGAGCCTCTCCCCAAAGATATCCCATAGATACTTAAGTCTTTTACATAAAATGTCCAAATATTTGCATCTAACTGATACACACAATCGTGTATGCCTTAAATCGTTGCTAGCCACACACAGGCTAATACAGTGTAGCTGTGGTGTAAATTGTAGTGTTGTGTAGGAAGGAGTGAGAAGAGTCGAGTGTGCATGACGCACGGCTTCCATTCTGTGCAAATACTTTCAGTCTGTGCTCTGTTGGTTTACAGAGCAGAGTGGGTAGAAATGGAGGACCTATTATATACATGTCTTCCAACCCGGCAATCTCGATGCTGGAAATTTTCTCTGAAGACACATTTCTAAGAACACAAAAATGCATTTGCACAAAAAATTCATTTCCGGGTTATTTGTGGTCATAAAATTCTATAAGGGCATCATCAGCTATAACACACAGACTTGATGGAATACTGGGTAGCTATTCAAAAAGCATTAGGGAGAGCTCTGTAAATTGGCACAGAGTCTCTTCCTGGAGGTACTGTGACATGAAAAAAAGAAAAAAAGCTAAGCTCAAAAGAGCTTATGTGACAAGTTACATGTTGCACAAGAAAGAAGAGATAATAGGGCATGTCTATATCTACAGTAGAGAGAAACTGGGGGGTGGACTAGCAAGTCATGAAATTGGCTATCTACAAAGAACCAAGAGAGAAGAAATGGGTGGGAGTGACACCAGAGAACCATACTTCTCTGGCTGTGTCCTTTGCAGTCTTGACTTTTGAAGGCCTATAAATAGTCTATGTATTTCAAACTGAAAAAGCATTAGATACATTGAGAGCAAATTGAAGCAAAATTCAATTACCACTATCCAAACTGAAGACAGTAGAGAGGAAGAGAGAATGAGTGACTTTAAACAGTCCTGGCAGAGAAAAAAGTAGAGGAACCATGAAGAAACACTGGCATTATTTTAGGACAAATGAGCTCAACCGACTAAGACTGAACATATTGACTTGGGGATCTGCCATTCTCACTGTAGAAGAAAGATACTATAGAAGGAGACGAGTGAAGAAGTAGATACCCAGTGGCAGTTAGGACATCTGGTATCAAGATCTTGACCTCTCTTACATGTCTCCACAGTAGAGGAGCAGAGTTCCTGGGGGAAGGGTTCTGTTGAGGTTGGGTCATGTAGACAAAAGATAAGACTGAAAGAACATGCCTTGATGGAGATTAAGGAAGGGCCCCTCACTACCTGTCAACAGTATGTCACAAGAAGACAGGAACCAGCTCACAGTGCTTCGATTAACCAAAGTGGGGCCATCTGAAGATAAAAATAAGTACCACAATGAATTATAAGCCACTGAAAAATAGAATTACTCATATATCCATACAAATAGTTCTTTGAAGCCAAAAGAGAAGCAGAGCTTAGCTCACAGATCAATGTCAAAGACTAAATGGAAAATCAGCAAGAAAAACAACCTCATGAAATAAAAATAAACATTTTAATTTTAAAACATAAATATCATAAAAGACAGAAAAGTTCCAAATTAAAGAGAACCGTTGTCATGACAATCAAAGGCAATATCTAATCCTAGACAGATCCTGGGTGGGGTAAAAACTGTGGGTGGTGCCATCCCTTACCAGATGGTTCTAATCTGTGTAAATGGTTAACTGGGCAAGCCAATAGGGAAAATTACCCCATGGCTATGCTTCTGTCTCTGCCTCCAGGTCCCAGTGCTGAGTCCCCGACTTACCCTCAGGATGGACTATAGGCTGTAAGATGAAATAAACACTTTCCTCCCAAAGTTGCCTTTGGTCAGCAATAGAGGGTGAGCTAAGACAGCTTGATGAGGCGGGGAAAGGGCTGAGGAATTATATCTAGTCACAATGTAACTATATCCAAATGGTTCAAGAAAGAAAATTCCAGGAGAGTGAACAGGTATGTAAAATAGTAGTATCAAATGTAGGCTTCTTGTCTTCAGTTAGGGTTACTATTACTATGATGAAACACCACGACCAAAAGTAAGTTGGGGAGGAGAGGGTTTAGTTGACTCACACTTCCATGTCTCTGTTCCTCACTGAAGGAAGTCAGGACAGGAAATCAAATAGGTCAGGAACCTGGAGGCAGGAGCTGATGAAGAGGCCAGGGATGAGTGCTGACTACTGGCTTGCTCAACCTGCTTTTTTATAGAACCCATTACCCCCAGCCCAGAGATGGCACCACATGAAATGGGCTGGGCCCTCACCCATCAATCACTAATTAAGAAAATGCCCTAACATATTTGCCTACAGCCAGATCTTATGGAGGCATTTTTCTAATTGAGGTCCTGTCCCCTCTGATGACTTTAGTTTGCCCCAAATTGATATACAACTAACCAGCACACTTCTTAAAATGTCTGACTGTCCATTTACTCCCATGGGTAAAGGCTCCAAGAACTTCCCTCTGCAAATGAACAGATCAATGGTACAGCCCATCACGGTGGGGAAAGCCTGGTAGCAGGAGATCAAGGCAGATGATGTCCACAATCAAGATAGGGATGAACGTCTATGTTCAGCTTGCTTCCTTCCCTTTTATGCCTTCTAGGATCTAAGGACAGAAAATGGTGCCACTCACAGGGGACAGGTTTTTCTGACATCAGTAAACCTAATTCAAATAATCCCCTATAGGCATGACCAGAGATTGTCCATGTGATTCTGTATCTCAGCAAGTTGACAACTGAGATTAAATCATGTGCAGGACCTACCATGCCAGTGGGGCCAAGCGCCCTGTGCTCTCTATCATTGGCCTATGTATGGACCCACCCACACCCTGAAATCCCTTATGCTAATTTATCAAGCGCTCAGACCTTCAACAGTACTCTTTCTAGGTGCTCATTAGTATTCTCTGCCCTCTCTCAATATCTGATGTCTTTTCAAAAGCAGTGTGTGGTCAGGGCAGTGGTATCACACACATGTAATCTCAGAACTCATGAGGCAGAGACAGGACTATCTCTGTGAGTTTAAGGCCAGCCTGGTGCACAGTGTGAGTTCCAGGTCAGGTTCCAAAGATTCAGAGAAACCCTCTCTCAGGAAAAAAAAAAAAAAGAAAAAGAAAAGAAAGAAAGGAAAATCAGTGTGTGTGTGTGTGTGTGTGTGTGTGTGTGTGTGTGTGTGTGTGTGTTCATATGAGTGTTTGTACATTGTACATGGAAGTCAGAGGACATCAGGTACCTCTCTCCTTCTACCATTTAGGCTCCAGATCCAACTCAGGTCATCAGCCTTGGCAGCATTACCCTTACACATTACCTGGCCCTACCTGTACCTCCCCCTGGCAGTTGGAAGGCTATCTTATTCATCATTATTCTCTATTAAGTATCCAGTACAAATAAAGTGGGTTGCTGTGTAAAACCCTTTGAGTAAAGTTGGCCTGCAACAAAAGATGTTGCCAGGGCCTGGGAGCGGGTGTGTGTGTGTGTGTGTGTGTGTGTGTGAACAGAGCACAAAGGTGTCTAGGACAGCAAAGCAGTCCTTTGTGACAGTACAGTGATGGACAGCTGTTGTTGGTCATTCTTCCAACACAAGGACCACACAATACAGAGTGAACCTGGCTCTGCCAGGGCCCTGGATAGTGATATCACTGGAACAATGCAGGCTGCTGGGGGATGTTGCCAGCACATGGGGCCACAGGGGTAGGCAGGGGTGTGGACAGAAAGTGGGGCCACATGTGGGGAGAGATGTGGAAAGTCTGTACTTTTTGCTTAAGTTCTCTGGGAGCACAAGAGAACTGCAAATTACTGACTGAAAAAATAAAAATATTTTTAAAAACCAACAGCAAATCTAAGAGACCAGAGGTCACAAAGTACCACAGATGGCATCATCTCTCTCAGAAGTTTCAATGAGGGCTCCAAAGAGGGAAATTTTGGGTGCTGAGAACACAGCTGGGATTCTGGTTTCTTCTGCCTTGGTATGAAGCTCACAGGCCTTCCATATTGCCAGAGCCCAGCCCCTCTGTGTACTTTCAATAAGTTTTTATTAAGTGTAGGTTTTATTATTACTAGGATAAGGGAAAGCCAACAGACCAGCAGACAAGCTTATTGGGAAGAT